TTCCCGTCTCCCGTGCATCATCGTGGCTACAAGATAAATCTTGAACTTGATCAAAAACGCCCCTCCCTCCCCCTCAAGCCTCAATCAAGCCCAAGGCACGGGTCCAAACTCACCCTTCAAATTGTTAGTGTTCCAATCGGCAGACATCGTCATTTGCTTCAGCTTTGTAATCTATGGTTACGACTCATGAGCATGTAAGCGAGTGGACCAATATTCTGTTCTCGGCCCCGTTGGTGACCTTTTAATAACAAGTGCCGCGAGACTCCATGTTGGCTAGTTGGGCTGCCTAGTGAGTAAGCAAGCCTGTTTGCGATGATAGTCCACGTTAATAGGCTTCCTCTCTTTACGAACCGAAACTCTGTTTGCTCGATAGTTTTCCCAAGGGCGGGGGGACGAATGTCGATGTGTCACGTTTCAATTACCCACGAGTCAAGCCCACGTCTTTGTCCAAAGTCAGAGTCAGGGATCGCCATTATAGCTAATGCATGATTACATTTGACTTTGGAGGCTATGCTATTATCGTGGGAGATTTGCAAAAGAGCTGAACAACAATAACAAGCAAAGAAAGAAAAAAGGGTTCTGACTAAAAGGCTTGGGCCATGTGAGCTACTCTATTGTGTCATAAAACTCTCCATGCCACATAGTACAGCGTTACATGGCGTTCGGGTTACGATATCCGTCGTTTCAGTCAAGAGAAATACACTTTGCTTTGTTCAATGCCTTTCGATCTTCGGGGCAAGGGAGATTAGAGGATACCTGGAATCTTAGAGTTTGTAGTGGTTGAAGCTTTCGGCAAATTGTGTAGACAGCGGCTGAAGTGGCTTAACTTGAGCCACTGAACTCTTTTACTTCAACTGAAACAGCTTAGATAAGTCCTTTTGATATGAGGCTTTGTGATGTTGTGTTATTACCGAGAGTGGTGGTTGGACATGGTGTAAGTGTTCGTAGGCGGCTGGATCGCATGATGTCGAAGGAGATGATAATACGGAATGGGAGATTACCTACTGTCTGCTCTCTATACTACGATCATACTTGATGAGCATATCGTCAAGCTGAATCTCTTACACTCAGGAGTAAAGTTTGGTGGTGACATCTTTGAGAGCGAGGAGAGTATGCTCCCGAGTGCTACTTGTCAGGCAGCTCGACAAGTCAAGCGCGTGAATGTCACAATTGTTATATGGCTTTGAACTAGAAGAATTAGATTGATAAATGAATCTTCCTTGAGAAGTAATGGTTTGACCTACTCGGTGAGCTGATGACAGCTAGCCGTCACTTTTCACATTGCACGTATTATAATTGTGACGGACGTACATGAGCTTAGTCGTCCACATCTACATAAGGCCTCTGAGAACATGGATTGGAGCTTGGTATCTATAATTAGACGTATAGAGTAATTATTAATGCTGTTAATACTAGAGATGAGTGTCAACGTGTGGTGTAGGCACACGTTGCGCTTCTTGCTGAGACAACGATTAGGCAACTGAGTGGCACCAAAAAGACATCTACTGAACTGAACTCACTTCAAGTGACAGTTAATAGTGATAGAAAATCACTGGGTCATTCGTGCGGATAATTTATAGCATAAATGTTCATATATTGCTTAGTGACCATGCTATCTCACGCGCTCACGATGTGTTTGCATTGCTTATACTGTAGCCAAAGATCTCTATAGGTACTCACACATTGCTATAGGCAGCTAACTGTGAATTGATATGTCAGTAATAGTGCTTAATAGTGTCGCTTTGTCAATTATTTGCGACTGTTGATGAATGACCCAGTTGCCTCGCTTGTGTCCTCGACTCAATAGGGGGACACTCCCTCATTCCTAGAGTTTAAGCAATCCTATGATCTATTGAGTACTGCAATGTCGCTTTCAGTATAACAAGTTTATTATGTAATTGTTTTATGCCTTGATATGATACGATGTAAACATAAAGCATGTCTGCTGTGTGATGATGATGACCATGGTGTTGAGCAGACGCATTCACCAAAACCTACACGAGAAGGAAATGAACGACATGCAATTCACTTAACTTCAGAACAAAAAATGTGATTGTTGATGTTTTGAGTCCATTTAATTGCTTCATTTTGTTCTGTATCAATAATGACAAACCTTTTCCTGTTTGTCGTCCTTTTGTAGTTGCAAATGTGACTTACACACATATCAGGAGTTTCCTACTTGGCACACATTTCCCATTCAAACGAGCTTATACCTGGATGTACCATTATATCAGACCAAGTCTATTTCTTTTTTCTTAATCGTTTCATTATTCACTATACTTCAACAAGTCGGTGACTCGTCTCTCGACTACCTATTCTCAAGATACCCTCATCTACTGGGTAGCAGAAAAAATGGCCTCCTAAGTCTTAGGATATGAAAATAAGTAGTCTAAGAACCATAGCCTAAGTGGCATAAAGTAGCCTACTAATTTCGTGTCTTATGCTTCCAGCGGTTAATTTTTCTGATACCCTGAGGCCTCATCTCATCGATGAAGTACAGGGTACCCAAAAGTCGCGATAACAAAATCATTATCACCGCCTTCTAGAACAGAATAAACTTTTCTCAATTCCTTTAAATGGAGTCAAAACCCACTCCCTCAACCACGCCATGTATCAAAAGAGCAACTACATCCGCGAGTGATTTAAATTACAGAGAAAAAGCTGCCGATATCCGTGGCTGAACCCCGGTCTGATTATCCTATCCAAAAATTGCACCATTATCTCTTGAGATGGCGTCGATAAGAGAAAACGCCTTCTGGATCGCCAGCGCGCATCAATTCTTCCCTCGTTGATGAATGATCGATACAACTTACTAGCGACATATCAAATCTTCAAAGATCGGAGGCGTCAGAATGAGCGCCGACATTCTTGCTGGCGCTAAGTCGGCGCCGACTAGTGATGTTGAAACAGCGGCGGTGCTACAGAGAAATCACGATGGAGATCTCGTTACAACGACCGAAGAGGAGAATCTACAGCGCGGCTTGCACGAGAGGCATTTGTCAATGCTTGGTATCGCCGGCGCCATTGGAACTGGTCTTTTCCTCGGTCTGGGCCAGTCTGTGCAAACCGGCGGTCCTTTGGGTGCGCTGCTTGGCTATGCCACCATCGGCCTCGTAGTGTGCGCCGTGCAATTCGCCCTGGGAGAAGTTGCTGCGCTGTTACCGGTCACAGGAGCTTTTGTGCGACACGCTGAATTTCTGGTCGATCCGGCTTGGGGCTTTGCGATCGGATGGAATCTCGTCTACGGAAACGTCCTCTCTATACCGTCTGAGATCACGGCCATCTGCGTCTTGTTCGAGTTCTGGACCGATCTCAACCCATCAGTATGGATCATCATCTTCATCGTTCTCACGACAGTTGTGGGACTTTGTTTTGTGCGTGTCTTTGGAGAGGTTGAGTTCTGGTTCGCCCTTCTCAAGATCCTGCTCGTCGTCTTTCTCATCATCCTGGGTTTGGTCATCAACTTGGGAGGTATTCCAGGAACAGAGCGCATTGGCTTCAGGTATTGGAATAATCCTGGACCTTTCGTTGAGTACATCGCCAGTGGGAACTGGGGGAAGTTCCTTGGATACTGGTCTGTCATGACCAGCGCTGTCTTCTCCTTTGCTGGAGTAGAGTCAATCGCCATGGCAGCCGCGGAGACACGGAACCCACAGCGAGCGATCCCCAAGGCCTGCAAGAACGTGTTCATCCGAATCCTCGTCTTCTACATCCTGGCCATCCTCATTGTCGGAATGTTGGTCCGCAGTGACGACAGGAGACTCGAAAACCAGTCGGGTTCTGCGGGCCAAAGCCCATTTGTTATAGCAGCTTCTGCAGCTGGTATTCCCGCCATACCGTCCGTGGTCAACGCCGTCGTCATCACGTCTGCGTGGTCAGCATCGAACCAGAGTCTTCTAGCCGGCACTCGTGTCCTCTATGGTCTGGCCCTTAAGCGACAAGCACCCCAGATCTTCCTCAGAACGACTTCGTGGGGTGTACCCTATGTCTGTGTCCTTTTCTTCACTTGCTTCATGTTCCTGAGCTTCATGAGCTTGTCCAACGGAGCCATGACAGTGTTCTGGTGGTTGGTTGACTTGACTGCGGCTGGAGTCTTGGTCTCTTGGTCATCAATCTTGTTCAATCACATTCGACTGAGGCTCGCCATGAAGAAACAAGGCATCCCAATCGAGAGACTACCCTGGCACAACTCATGGACCTGTAAGTAACCCTGACACTCCAACATGTTCTTTGCTAACATTAATAGTATATTCTTCGTATGTGGGATTGTTCATGACATTACTTATACTGTTCACGGGTGGCTTTAGAGTCTTTACCAAGGGTAACTGGGACCCTGTTGGCTTTGTGTCTTCCTATTTGTAAGTGTCCCGCTTGGTTTGGAGACGATTTGTTACTAACATCGGATGTGAAGGGACATTCCTCTCGTTATTGCAGCGTACTTGATCTGGAAGTTTGTCAAGAAGACAAAGGTTGTGTCGTTGTCAGATATTCCTCTACATGATGCATTCAAGAAGTCGGAAGAAGACCACGAGGTGGTGTCCTAGAACAAGTCCTTGCATAGTTTGCAAATCCCACACTGGGATTGAAAACAGAATAAGAATATTAAGCCATAGTGAATTAGAAGACATATTAGCTGTGCCTAACCTTGGCTCTTCGACCTTTCCCGTAGAATAGCCGAGTTGTCGGAGTAGGACACATACCCTCGAACCTCACTGCGCTGCTGAAGGCATGTTATTTGCTTTCACCTAATCGGTGTAAGGTAGATCTGTTGAGAACCCTCACGGTGAACCTACATGCTTCAAAGGATCTAGACCCGCCTGGTAAAACAATACTGCGTTCGGCAATTCTAGACTCCTGAGCGACGCTCAGGTATTGGCAAGCGAGAACAAGGAAGATGCATTGTTTGTAAGCCTATAAGGTAATTGTATCTCTAAGGTAATAATCGCGTTCTAGTGCGTCGTCAAGTGCAGGCAGTGAGCCACGAATAGTTGCTGCTCGCTTTAGTCCCACCACATATAACTGATCAACATGACTGCGAGCCACAGTCTATGCCATCCTCTCAGTGATGACCTTTTGGCAGCATGGCTAGCATATCCGAACGCAGGAAAATTAGGCTTGCATGTGGTATTTACCTCAGGCAACGATCCACTGTTGAAGTACCTGGCCACAATATCTTCTGTACAGTTGGAGGGATGGACGATAAATGAATGCTACAGGCAATTAGTATGGAGATGTGTTAAATGGAGACGGGAGACTTACGCCAACACCCTCATGAACGACGACCCGACTTTCTGGAAACTTGGAAGAAACCTCCTAAGCTGAGATTAAGGGGGTAATAGGATCGTAGATACCGTTGACGATAAGAACAGGATGCTTCGTTTTTATTCGACGGAAGCTATTAGCATCGACCTGTTCAGCTGCTTGGAACTTCCACCGAGCACAACGGAACCTGTCCGACACAATCATGTCACCAAAAGGGCCCAGGCCCAGATTTGCCTTATAGACGGAGAAGAGATCGTCAGGAGTGTCCGCGCGGAAAGACGTGTCACCACATGTAATCATGAGGAAAGCAAAATGACCCGTCAGATCCTCATCACCATCAAGGGGGAGGAATGCAGCGGTCTCATTACCTTCTAAGGCACCCTTTATCCTTTCATCCAACAGGGGATATAAGGAAGGAGTGTATAGATGAAGAAATACGAGTGATTCAAACCGGTCCGCCTTCGAGCTCGACCTACCTGTAATACTGAGAGTGCCATCGAGACGATATGACCTCTGTATTTCGTTGTAGGCCTCGAGGAGACTTTCTTTTGTAGAATAGTTGGCCGCAAGAGAACAGACCTGGGGCCCAGCTGCAAGACATTCATCAAAAAAGCGCAGGATAGCTTTCTCAGCATCTTTGGTGCTGCTTTTCAGGGTACCTGTGAAGTATTCATCTGAAAGAACATTGCCATCGAGAAGCATGCGGCCGATGCGACTGGGAAACATAGCCGCGAGAACTTGTCCTAGGACAGTTCCGTATGAGGTTCCCCAGTAGTTGATCTGGTTGCCTTGTCCCAAGGCATCAGAAATCTTGACGATATCCCTGGCGACAAACGGTGTACCGTAAAAGCGGCCAGTATCTGCGTAGCCTTCGTAAAAAGCATCGGTGAGTTCACCTGCATCACGCCAAGAGTCGCCCTTGATCCGTTCCCAGTCACCATAAGCCACTGTATCAGCACCTCTGCCCATTATTTTCCGGGGCAGTAAAGTAGAAAGAGGGCCAGCAGATCCACTAGTTGGAGTGAGTGATTTCGCGAATGGTCCCTTAGGAGGAGATCTTACCGTGGATCAAAACTGATAATATCATAGTGCCCACCAAGGATTTCTACAAACCTGCCACCCTTGCCAATGACAACAGACACACCGGAGCCACCTGGCCCACCAGGATTGTAAAAGACACTGCCTTTGGATGGTTGTTTAGTCGCATTCGCCTTTACCAAGTCGAGCACAACAGGTTCGGAGCTGTTTTCGTTGGTATAATCGAGGGGCACCGAGAATTTGGCACAGTCGTAATCTTTTTGAAGGGTGTGCAATTTTTCGTTACCCAAGTCCAAATTACACTGGCTCCAGACGATGGATGAAGTGTTCGAATCGCGGGTCCTCAGTGTTGCAGCTTGCATCGATTTCAGAAGCAGGTGGCCGAGAGGGATGTTTCGTAAATTCATGATGTACAAGGTAATGAATGATGTTATGTTATAGACTTTGATGTGCTGGGTGAAGAATGCTGCTCGGAGGGCGAGTTGATGGGAAACCTCTGTGAATACGGTGCGTTGAGAGGTAGGTAACAATACGTAGAAGAGGCAACAGAAACAGAAACGGCCAACCAGGCAGGAGCGGGCTTGGTACACTGGGATTCCACAATAGGAAAGAGCCACGGGCAACTCTCCCCCTGATAAATTTCACAGCCAAAAGAAACAGTGTTGGTGAATCACGAACGAAGAACCCTCCAGATGAGAAGGCATGTACCTTCACAAAAAAGATCCCGTAGGCCATTCTCTTCACCTGAAATCGCCTTGCGAATCTCAGCTGGCACAAAAAATCGTCTCTTACGTCTTGTTATTATGAGCGCCTTGTCTGCTCTACCTATTGTTGCTGCTTCAAGGAAAACTCGTCTCTTCATGGTGCTTCGTGAACATTTGCCGATTCGCTCGATAACTCCGGTTTTACCACGACATTACTTGCTGGTGACGCTGGAAGCTGGTGGCTGTACTCATACACGCCCTGCTGCTGTGGGATAGGTTGCGGCTGAATGTAACTTTCGCTGGTCTGTTGACTCGCCGCAGCGTCCTTTGCCTTTCGTGATCGTTTCCAGAGGAAGAAGCCAAGGCCGGCAAGCAATAGCGCACCGACAATGGCTCCGACGGCGATTCCTGCACCAGCTCCTGCGGAAAGTCCCTGACTTGCGAAAGATGGGAAATAATCGTCTTCACGGTCAGAGCTGCTGTCAGATGTGACGTTGAACATCTGAGAAATCGCAATAGGACTATCCCCTTGAACATCGGTGTCGTTGAACAACTGGAACCAGAAGACAGCGTCGTCATTCCAATGGTCACTATCCGTGTCGTGATTTTGAAACCCATTCCGAGCCGTAAACTCTGCCACCCAATAACTGCTTCTGTCTGTCGTATTGTCTAAAATATTTCGATTAGGCACACTTTCAAAAGTACATTATAGACGTTGCACCTACAGTTAAGCATGTATTGTATGTCTGATCCATTGGGAAGGATCTGAGCAACTCCCAGGCTCAATGATGTGAGGTCGGTTCTCCATTTGACAGGGATACTTTGCCCGGCAGTGTATCGTTGATTGTTGGATGGATCAGGCTGATTCGTCCCGTCGGGCAAGTTCCCGGGATAGACGAAGAGAGTCACACATTGGGCGTAGGTGACCAAGCTGAGAAGCGAGATGAGAGTTCGTGGAAGAGAATACATGGTTTAGTATCCGTACTTCAAATGATCGCGAGGTGTACAGAGTAGATGAAGAGACAACTAAGCACAGACGCAAAGAAAAACCAGAGAATCAGGCAAGCGAAAGAACGAGCTCCAGCAAAGGGGGCCTTTTTACTTTTTAATGACATGAGGCGAGCCCTGGTATTTTGTCGATCCTAGCTGTTGAGGTTTCATTTCCATCCGGAGGATCATCATCCCTGACAGAGTCGCATTCTGCAGTCTCGCCGACAATGGCGAAAATATTTTGGTGAAGGTTGGGGTACAAGAAAAAGAATAAGCACACACTCTGACTTAGAATACCATGAGCTGACTGATTTATTTCTTCTCTCGTCCTGTTTGAGTCAGATTTTCTGTTACCCCCAGAGAATCGTCAACCTTGTTACACAGCAACTTGTGGATATCACATCACATCATATGGCTCCAGTGACAGAATAACGGAAGGCGATCTCCGATGAGTCGAAATGGCCGCAAAATGTCTATAAAGCTGAACTTGTTGAGAAGGGGTTTGCCATGAAACTTGAGGCAACTTCAACGTGAAGGAAGGTATCGTGCTTTCTTGGGTCCACGCTTTGACATCTTGGCCTTGTGGGTTTTTAAAGCACAGCCTTTTCGCTTGCGCGTTTGAGTTCCGCAAAGGATTGAAATGCTTGCCAGAAGACGAGATAGGAAGTGGATTGCGGTGTGTATTTGCCGGGAGTCCCTGACATCGAATGAGATTACTTTCTTCAACTCAACTTGTATGTCATGTACCATAAGTTGTTCAAGTCATGAGGAATTGCTAGTAGCCAGCTTGGATCATTGGCCCAATTTCTCATAACCACAAGGTAGCCCAAGACGTAGACCAATTCGCAAGAATACACAAAAGGAAAGATAGCCATGAAATGAAAAGAACTGTTTCATGTCGCCGCGACTGGGTAAATCTGGTGTCATCCGGAATGTGGTATGTCCGCCGATCCAATCAGGCCATAACCTCGAACAAAACATCTCCAAGAACCGACCGCAAGACCAAAACAGAGCCAGCAATATCAGTCAACCTTAAACAACAGATCATTGTCCGGATTGTAATCAGGAGCCCACTGATCAGCCTCAGACCCTGTTCTGGCAAGTTTTTGGCGTGCCTGACGCAAATCCCGGCTTGCACGTTGTGCTGACATATCATAGTACAAAATACAAATGATCAACCTTCGTAGACCTAGTTAGCTATCTTTCGTACGGGAGATAAGAAGGGTCCAACGTACATGCAAAATATGTATGGAATGAACAGATCTGGTCTGTTCTGACAACAAAGCCGTGATTCATCCATTTCCAGCGCTGTGATGGTTGATAGATATTGTTGCAATACGCTTGAGAGATAACCGTGTGTTTCCAGGTACCGACCGGGTCGAGGGAGAGTCGATGTCGAAGGATGTGATTGGGATCCAGAAGCGCCCTTGTGGTTAATGAGGAAAGCGACTGAGAAGGAAGAAAAGCCCAAGAGCTTTCTTTTTTGTACGTGTTGAAACTTAATAAGAAGTTAAGTTTGAAGCATGGATAATATCCAGATATGCTTGGAAGTATATGAACATGAACAAACTTACGCGACGAAGACTCCAACAACCAAACCTGTAACTATGTGTTGAGTGCCCGGCGCTATTTCGAGGCTTAACAAAAAAACGAGTATCTATAGTATGGTGATGCTAACAAGATTCTCGTATTATGCTTTCTGAATGTATTGCAAGTAACCTGTTCTATCCGTTCTGGCACTGAGAGCCTTCTAAGCACAACCGTGACCTCGCTATGCATTGACGAAAGACAAAATGAAACCATAACGCAAAAGAGTCCAACGAACCTATACAGTGTTCTCAATAATCGACTATACAGAAAAATATCTATCGATGCTTCTACTCATGATGTTCGTGAGATTCGCGTGAACGCGTGCGCGTGGTAGACTCATCACCCATTGACTTTTCGGTCGGCAGGACAATGGCTCGGTCCAAAGCGTATGGGAGACCACGATGGCGCCCACGAATCATCATGGCGCAAATGACGAGTTTGCTGAATGTTGTAAATTCGGTGCAGAAAGACGCACTAATTGTTGGGTATCCTAAACTCAAGCCGACATTACAACTGCGAGACAGTCAGCGCTGTAAGTCACTCAGGGGCGATCGTACTTACTATGCCGACACACCCTCGAACAAGATGGGCCACATTGCGAATGCCTGTTATCGTAAGCGCTACACTACATGTCGAGGTCGAGTCGGTACTCACCAAGTCGTTTCCATCCATAATCTTCTTGTGTTCTGCTATAGTAATGCAGAAAAGTCCAAGGCAGATATACCATAGATCAAAACTGAGCTGATTCCGTAAGTGTGTCACAAAATACGAACCGCCATCTTCCTCATTCAGTTGCTGCTCATCCTCGTATATTCCAAGTGAGCGTTCTTCGTAGGTGTTTGAAGATCGAACCACAATAGAAATGGGATATACGGAAACGTACATCATGACCAACAACGCCAGCTGAACTGCTGGGTTGACATTGGCTAGGTTAAAAGTGGCAGTACCGGTGTGCCGTGAACTGACTGCCTGGAAAACAGCGGCGCAAAATCTCTGCCATCCCGGGAGAACTGTGACAGTTGGGTTGTCTAAATCAAGAAGAATGATAAATAGGACATCGGCAACGTTGAGGAGGGTGAGAATGGCAAACAATGCCCAGGTCGGTCCGCTAGGAAATAGTAAGGTATAGCATCGACGCGGGTGGTTGAGGAGGAAGTGTAACGGCTCTTGTAGTGAAGACTGTTTTGGAAAGGCTTTCGATGCAGACCAGATGATAAAGCGTAGTAGAATAGGGTAAAATGTATGTCCTGCAAGCGCGAGGGCACTCATGATAAGCAGCGGAGCTGGGGCATCGTTGAAGGAGATCATCGAATCAGGGGTCAAGGTGAAACCCAAGTTGGCGACCATAGTCTGAGCGGAGAAGATGGCCCTAAACAAAGGATGAGCCAAGTTTGATATCGTCAAATGGAGATGAGACTTACCACCAGAAACGGTTCTGACCACATTCAGCGATGTAGTCAACATACTTGCTGGGAGCGTGGTTGACCCATCCTATCAGGCAGACAGCACCCAGGAATTGGAGGAAAGCATAGTATCCTGTATACGTCAGTCTCCTTCTTGTAAACGGAGCACATCAAAACTTACCGACGATGATCTTGAGGAGTAACTTTAAACTTTTGTACTCAATACCGCCAAGCTCATCTCGGTCCTCCGATGACAAGTTGTGGAATATGGAATTGCGCCCAATTGTCACCTCACGCGACAAGTTCGGGAAATCCCCTACAGCAAGTGTCGGAGCTCTCGCCAACGGACGCTCCTTAGGGCCTTGAGCAGTATTGCCGATAACAAACAGCGAGGAAGCAACGGTAGCGACACGTTCTACCGAACGAACTTGGGACAGGTTAAGACCGGCACTGCGTCGACGGCGAAGTGTTCTGATGGAGTTGGAATAGGTACGAGAAATCGGCTCGATAATGTCATCTGGAGGAGCGATCAGCACATCTGCGCATAAAGTAGTGATATCACCGCACCATCTCGAGTATCTCTACTGAAGGGACGACCGCTGTTCAGCTCAACAAAAGGCAGTCCTAGAAATGTTAGCGGTGACCGGAGAAGAATTGACAGTGCATACCCTGATCACGAGCCCGAGGTCCAGGGATATAAAGAGTAGAGTCCTGGTGTTCACGCCGAGGATGATGATCGGCTGAAGGGTCAAATGTGATTTTCGTCCCGTGCTGGTTCACTTCCTGTTCGGCCACCTTATCACCCTTAACAGTAGGTGCATCATCGTCTACAGAACGTTGCGAATTTTGATCAGGGGCTGGGAGCGTTTGACTACGGGCCTCAATCTGGGGAAGTACATCCTTCTCTGCAGTGTTTCTGGGAACCCGATCTGTGACAGCACGCGCAATACTGGGTCGGTTTTCAGGCTGCTCCGAAACCGGAAGTTCGGTACCAACCTCAGGATCTTCCTTGGGATTTGGGTCTACGGCTCTGCGCCGGCTTAACAGAGTAGAAGCTTTGGGTAGAGAGTCAGCAACGCTTTGTCAAGCATGGATGAGATGATGAACTGACCAGCCTTCTTAAGGTATTTCCGGAACCAGATTAGACGCGCAATGACAACCAGAATGTTGATAACCACAGTGTTGCAAACAAGGGGAATAAAGTAGAGGTACAGCTGCTGGTATGTTCTAAGGACAGGGACATCGATGCTGGATTGGTTAGTTCGGCGGGATAATTACGAGCGTTGCAGAAAGTGGCTCACGTAGTCAAGCCGGTAACGGTCGAGGCGCTGACACCCAGGAAATAAGCATCGATAGCACTGAGGTTGCCGTTGGGATATATGAAAAGGAAGCTAGAAAGACCCATGCAAATAATGTATATATCTGCGTATCGCCAAGAAGTGCCGTTGTCAGCCAGATCGCACCTTGAAGTTTTAGTATAGTAGTAACAGGTACTCACAATGCAACTTGACGAAATTGAGATTTGGGCGCCACATGCTTCGTCTGTTTGGCGTCAAACGCCGAAGACGACTGAAAAGAAACCCGGAGAAGGACGTTGTCTCAGAGCGGTTCCGTTTGCGAGTCGTTGACGGGGGTAAAGTTTGGGTATGAATTGTAGCGCTTTTAGCCGGAGAGAAAGAAGGAGTGAGTAGGTTGCAAGCCAACTCTTTTGAGAAAGGAGAAAGCAGGTGGGCAGTGCTCAAACAAAAATTACCGCTAGGCCGAGAGGCCGGGATCCGATGACAGTATTGAAGACATCTGGGGGAAACATTAAGAAAGAGCACAAGCCCTTGAATAATGTGGATGTGTGGAGGTGGATGCAGCCAACACAGCACAGCACATCACAGCGCAGCACACAGAACGAAGCGCCTGATCTGACAAAGTATCCAGGGACAGGAAAAGAGAAACGAGCAAGACTGGAGAAGCCGTATCCGTAATCTCCATACTGGGAACAACATAAGCTTAAGCTGTTAGGCAGCGGACTAGCGGTAAAGAGACCCTGAAATGACCTAGGAGGGGGGAAGGATAACCTCGCGATTCCTGATTGGGCTTGGGTGATCATATGCCGCCGTGAACTGATTGATTCGGAACGTTCCGATAAGGCCGGCCCTTTAGACTCTGCCTGTAGTGCGTGCAGTGATTCTGGTGAGTGAGTGGCAGTGCAGTCGGCTTTGGAGGTCAAGTTACGAGTCATCCATTTACGTCGGCAGTCATTGATGAATTGATCATTTTGTTAGGTAAGGAGTGATAGGGTAGCAACCGTAATCGGATTGTTTACTTGTCTTGTTCGTGACTCAATGTCTTTGATCTTTGGAACAAGACTTATCAAGATAAGGATTTGGTTCTGACGCTAACGATGGACGTTGTTTACCTTGCAAATAAAACAATGTCTAAAATACCGCCAAGCTCAAATGCCAAGCGCCAACCCCAGATCAACTGCAAGTGCTCGCAAACATCCCCGATCAAATGTGGACGAATAAATTATGTCATAGGCTAACCAAAAATGGTCAAGTCACTATAATCGCGCGAACCTTTAATAAACGTGACGTGACGTGAGCTGAGCACGCGTCGCAACACGGGTTACAGGCTCACAATCATGAAATTCGAGTAAACAACAAATTCAATTTCCGTACCAATTCGTTGTTAAAATCGTTCAATGTTAATATCACATGCAAATCGTCTTTAATCATGGACTTTAATTTTGGCCGTAGTGCCCCTTCAGGCTCCGCCTCTGGTTCTTCCTCCAACTGGCTCGGTTATGGTCAGCGCGTTGCGATGCCAAACCCATCTCCTGGTGCGCCAAATGCCATGGCAGACGACGATGTTTCTTTCGCTGATTCCTATCGTCCCGAGACTTCTCCTCTATTCAATCCACTTTATGCACCTCGCAACAACGCTGCCGAGACCGCGTCTTCGATGAGTCCCGGGCCTGCACCTACTTGGCCTTGGCAGCGCGATGCCTCGACTCTCGATAACACATTGAACAGCGATAATTTCGGTTCGCCTGATGTATCCCCTCTACCAGTAAAGCCAGAGCCACATGAGCACGCCCCGCTGTCGCCCGAACAGCCAGCCGTAGAGGAGTCTATTGTTCAGCAGGATACCATAGAGGAAATTGTCCGGGTCGAAATTGATATAGACACTCCAGCTGTCGAGGAGTCGCGGGTTGAGGTTTACGAGCACACCGAAATCATTATTCAGTCATCAGAGGAACAACCAGAGCAAACATCCCCACAGAACGAGCGTGACAATGAAGTCACAGCAGGCGAAACCGATCGTGTCGAAGAAACACCCACTGATGCAAACACCGACCTGCTGGGCGATACCGAGAAACTTGTTGATGGCCAGAAAACTCCTTTACAAGAGCAGTCGAAGTCAACTGAACCCAGTTCAGCTCCAGCTGCAGGACCCAGCAAGCTCAGGACCGCTTTGCTTTCCCTAGGAAGTGGAATAATGAAGCGCATGTCAGCACCGCCATCTGGAGCAGTTGCGACTTCCGAACAAGATGATGCCCAGGTTGGGCGAGCTGTGTCAGCACAGCCTGAGCAGCAGGTCGAGATAGGAGCTTCAACACCATCCCTTGTCGTTGAACTCAAGAAGATGTCAGAGACCGAAAAAGCATCCTTCACCGAGGTATCCGATTCCGACGAAGAAGATATACCTGCCAAGCCTGTCTCTGTACCTTCCGCAAAGCGAGGTCGACCTAGAAAACAGAGTCTTGCTGGCAAGTCTACAGCATCTGCCACCAAGCCTGCTCGTGGGCGTCGCAGTATCGCATCTGCGCCCGCGTCTCCTGCAGTCAAGAAAACCCCTGCCTCAGTCGTCGTACAACGCGCCCGCAAGTCTATGCCAGCAAGTACCACTGTTGATGAAACTCCTAAGAAGCGAGGACGACCGCGAAAGAGTGATGCTGTAGCTACCCCACCTCCGCCCCCAAGCACTGCAAAGAGAGGCAGACCGAGAAAATCTGAAGCCACTCCAATCGCTGTCCCGAGCGTGTCGAAACCTGTGTCTGCTAGAGGTCGCCGAGTTGCTAGTGCTAGTAAGGCCGCCGTCACGCCTCAAAGGCCTACCGCCGTTCATACTCCCAAAACAGCTATTGGACTGCGGGCAGCCGCAACACCCACGTCAACCCCTAGACCACGTGGCCGACCACCCAAGAACCCCAAGCCGGTGGAAGAAGCCGAGCCTGAGGTAGAGATGCTCAAGCGCGCTGGCCGTGCAAGCCGACCCTCCGACGCAACAGAAGATGCCCCTCCTAAGACCACTCGTGCTGTTTCCTCTCCTGCCAAGCGTGGCCGACCAGCAAAGAAAGTTGCTTCTTCTCCTGCCCCAAAGACCGAAGTTCAAACAGCCACAGAAAGAGGACGCCGTGTTGCTGCTGACCCCAAGGAAGAAGCTCCTGCTGAAACACCCAAACGACGCAGCCGCCCTGCTGCCAAGGTCGAGGCACCACCAGTTGAAGAACCCGCCTCTGAGCCTAAGACTCGAAAGCGTGGCCGTGCAGCCGCTACAGAAGATGCTCCTGCCGAGGAACCAGCCCCTAAGAGACGCGGCCGTATAGCCAAGCCTGTTCCAAAGGAGGAATCCGCTCCCGCCCCCAAACGACGTGGTCGCGCTGCTGCTGCTTCGGAGACCACAGAGGAGTCTGTAGCTGAGCCTGCGACATCCAAGAAGCGTGGAGCAGCCAAGACTGCCACGAAGACCAAAGACACCACTTCTGAACCTGTGGCCCCAAAGAAGCGGGGACGGGCAGCTGCTGCGGCAAAGGCTGTCGAGGATGTGCCAGCAGAGACCACGACCAAGCGTGGTCGTGGGAAGCGATCTGCGCCAGAACCAGAACCAGAGGCTGAAGCACCTGAGCCTGCGGCCAAGAAGCGACGTACGACAAGCAAAGCTGAGGAGCCTGCTCCTGCCAAGCCGACCAAGGCTACTTCTGGTAGAAAACCTGGACGACCGGTCAAAGCTACGAAAGAAGCCGTTGAGGAACCAGCACCCAAGCGCGGCAAGTCCGCACGCTCCAAGGCTGCCGAACCTACTCCCGTCGAAGAAGCACCCAAGCCTGCCAAGCGAGGTCGAGGTCCTGCAAAGAAGACGACAGAACCAGCTGCTAAAGCTGAAGCTGAGCCTGAAAAGCCCAAAGCTCGTGGGCGACCTGCGAAGGGAAAGTCTGGAAAGGGCGAGCTTCCAAGCTCCAAGAACGTGGACGCGCCCGCAGCTAAGCGTGGACGTGGAGCTGCGGCGAAGACCACCGCTACCAAGACCAAGACAACGGCTGCTGCTCCTACCAAGGTGACCAAGACAGGCAGGGCTGCACAGACCGGTGTCCGCAGAGGACTACGATCAAGAGGCTGAGTTTATGATGGATGTTCTAATGCAAAAAGTCCTTAAGAAGTATCTGATTACTGGGCAGGTTCTTGTCTTTTTATTATATTTTGTAGACTACGGCATTCGCAAAGATAAATATGGAACGGAACGGAATGGGATCGGGCGGGATAGGCGTTATGATAGCAATGTATTATATATACGGAATGACTACGTTTACTTTCTCTGTGCCTGTGAAGAAATTGCCGTTTCATCGCCGCCGCATGTTTTTCAGAAGAGTGTTGGGTTCAGTGCTGCTACTGTTGTGATTATACTGCGGAGATGATGGCACTTGACATAGGCAAGACCTTTTCATGGAGTATTAAGTGAAGCACTCAAGTACGTTTGCCAATCCAGTCTATAGTATTGACCAATATCGTCTGTCTTGTCCATTAGTCTCTAAGCATAGTTGGTTGGAGGCGGCATCGGGGACGTCGAGATGGACATGAGACGAATTATCGTCAAGTAATCTCAACAAGCGGGTTTAGCTCAGTTGGGAGAGCGTCAGACTGAAGTCAAACTTCAATCATTACGATATCTGAAGGTCATGTGTTCGATCCACATAAACCGCATGTTCTTTTCTTTTGGCTACCTAAATTGTAGAGCATTCTTTTTTTGTACACATCAACAACGATCATCAATCAGGTAATTAAGAAGATATTATCTGTTTGTGTTTTGGAGATAGGCAGCGACGAGGTTGGGAATAATCTTTTTCGCCTCATTTCAACGTTTGGACTAAGATTCCTTTTAGCTACCTAATCGGAACAAAAGGCGTGTGGAAGATTGTCTCTATTTCGTCCAAGTTACCTGCACTGAGCGGAAATGCCATGCGTGCACGTTCAAGTTACCAAAGATGTAGAATTTCTGGCAAGGCAGACAGAGCCTATAGGTTCTCTGCGTCTCCGCCATGTACATTCGGGAACAATCCGATAAGATGGGAAGCATGCAGTCGTGCAGCCAGCCGGCAGTGATTGAATCGGTCTTTATTCCTAGAGCAATGGCCATGAGCACGATGGCTGTGTAACCAGATCAATGATACTAAGAGGTCACGAGATATGGTAGAGAATGTTCCATAATGCTTGTAGATACCGATAGATGTACGAGATAGTGAAGTGGCGATGCATCCATCCTGTTGGCTTACACCGCGCTTGTCTCTGTGTGTCCATCAAAAGGAATAGTTATTGACACTCAAAGATTGGAGATACATAGAACACATGTTTAAGTAGGTAAGCTATGTGACCATATTGATATGATCTATGGAAAGCCTGAAGCTTACTTGCATACATTGTTTCTGTATACAGCTTCCAGAATCACAGTGACACTTCACTGCAAGATACCGTGGTAGATAGCTTTTGCGCATCTGACCGCCTAGAACATTAAGGAAATGTCCCAGTTCATTTACAGAGAGATTAGGTGCCCGCCTTAATGAAAGAATACCTGCCAGTGCTTGCCAGTGCCACCATCTTCACCTTCTTTACCACACTAGCAACCACAGATCAAATCCCCAAACCGCACCAACGCACAAATTCTTCCTCTACAAAGAACTCTCCTCCTCCCCCTCTTCTTCACCGATACAACTTCACAAATCTGACCGCATTTTTCATTCACTGTCTGACAGTGTGGTCATTTCTACGCCTTCAGCGCAGCTACCCGATGGGGACAAACCGACCGCTTCGCTTCCAGCCAGCTTCAACATCTATCTCTCTCTCTTCTCAAGGAAATACGCTACATGTTTGCGGTCAAGACAAATTCTGGTTCCCTTTGAAGAAGAAGCATTATAATCCAGCTTTTCTTCTTTCTTTCTTTTAATTTTTACCTTGTTTCATTTTGTTGCTGTTGTTGTTCTTCGTTTACCCGCTTCACCCACACCATCGGCTTCTGGAATCAGTCAATGAATGAATAGAAACGACGCTGCATTGTTCATCTGATTTCACTCTCGTCTTCACACAGGAACCATTCACTTGGGACAATAGAAGAGACAATTCAATAACCACGACTATAAATTGTTCTCAAATTTTCACCTTCGAATTTTGATCCTCTTGGTATCTCATCTTCCATTCATCACACGACTCTCAACTACACTTGAGCATTGTGTGCCATTGCTTTCTACGACTACAATCAACCAGACCCCATTGTTTTACTCTTCTCATCTTGCTACGTCTATTCAAGATGGCATCGCCTTCTACTCCCGACTCTCACAAGAGTTCCAGCAGTCCTGATGAATCAGACATTACCCCTTCCCCTACTCAGCAGAGCACCCCTTTTACTGAGATGGGCACTCATACAAACCCCCGATTAAAGAAGACCATGGATTACTCTAAGCTTTTCGCCGAATCCAACGGCGCCCGCCCGGATCAAATCCCAGCTGTGCCTTTGAGCTATGTTCCTGCCCAGCATACGCCTCCTCCTTCGGATTTAGATCTCACCCCGTTGATCTTTTACAAGCGCAAGGGTGATCTTGGAAACACATTCAATCCTCACGGTGGCTCAAACAACTATATCTTCAAGCCATGCGCTGATGTCCTGGCCCAAGCTCAACCTCATCTTCAGAATCAGTATCCTGTGGTTATGAATCGCATGACTGCCCACCCGCCTGTGCCTGTCAATCCCGTTCGCCAGCCTGATATTCCTCCCGTCGACCATGCTTCCCGTGTTAGAGACAGTTTCGCTGGAAATCTTGCCCCTTCTCCCGCCATCTGGGAGGGCCTCAAGGGCCAGTTCAGCCAGTTCAATCTCGGCGAACACCAAGCTCCTACATCTGCGCCCCGTCAAACCACTCTATCGCCTGACCAGGAAGTTCGAGCCTTCAAGCTTCCGAGCTACCTTACCGCGTACACCACTCGTCAGCCCTTTTCGTGCAGCAACACCTCTGTGACTTCGCTTCCCCAGCCGGACAGCCCTACTCTTCGTCAACCTTCTACTCCTCGAGGTTTCAGACCCATGGCTGCCATCAACCACAACCGTGTCGCCTCCGGCACTGAGAACGGGCGGGAGGAACCTGAGACCAACATTTTCTCCGACAACTACAAGGGTGAACACACTATGCGTAATGCGAGCGCCATGGAACTATCCCCCGAGGAGAACTGCGCACTCTGGTTGACCAACCTGCCTCCGGACGTCACTCACAACCAGCTCCTTTCCCAGATCCGCAACATCGGCCGTATCTGGTGCAGTGTCATCAACGAACCTGACTACGATCGACATGACACCGCCGCCGCAAAGGTTGTCTTCTTCACCCCTCGTCCCGCACAGCTTCTTCTTTCCAAGTCCTTGACTCAGGGTCTTGAAATCTCTGGGTACCCCGTTCGAGTCACTCACAACCGTGTCAAATACGGCGAACAGCCCATGGTCGGAGCCGCTTCTCGCGTCCTTATCATCACCGGAAAATCGTCCTTTGTCAACCCCGAGAGCCTGACTGATTTCTTCAAGGAGCGCTTTGTCTTTGAGATTGACGAAATCACCCCGCTCATTGTCCAGCCCGCGCGGGTCAAGGGTGGCAGATCTATCATCGAGTACCGCTTTGGTAGCTTCCGTTGCCAGGCGCAGATGGGCAAGATGGCCCTGGAGAAGGACCGACCTCAGGGATTTGAGAAAGTCGAGTTTGGGGAGGATCCCTGTGAAGTTGGAGAGACCCTTGCTTCTTACGGCATTGCCGCTGAACGTATCCAGGGAAAGGGAATCTAATTCTGTGTGATGTGAATTAAAGATGGAGGGATCTGTGTATTGAAAAATGGTATTTGGATTGGGGGAAAGATGTTGCTTGTTGCTTGTTGCTTGTTGCCTGTTGATGTCGAGAGAGCTTTCTGTTACAAGCTCCCCTAACCAAGGATTGATTAAGGATGAACAAAGATAGACCCATGAATACACTACTGTAGATACTTCATCTCTGATGCCTGCTTGTGTCCGTGGACCATGATGTCAACAGATGACGACCTAGACTGAGGCCGAAGCACTCACAGAATGTCAGTAAGCCATCACTTCCAGTTTAATGTGTTCATCGGTTGATGAGATCACCACGGACATGTCCGTGTTGAAGGTGGCTTCGCATTAAAGTTTGCGATGAACTATGTTTAGGCCCCAGGGCTAAGAGCTTGCATCAAATAAGCAGCTATCCCATTGATGTCCAAACTGGTGGCGTCTCTTAGTTAACGTTGGATCGGGGCGGGGTTGAAGGTCATACCACTTTCGTCTTGTCGACGTAACTAAGCTCTCGTGTCCTGCTCAACCATCCGAGTCGGTCGAGTATCCAAAAGTTTATACACAGAAACAAACAATGGTGTCATTTGAAGAAATTTAGCTCTATTCGAATACAGAAGAAGATGCCGTTCGTCGTTGAACTCCCTCAACGCCGCCCTAGTCTAAAATGCTAGTAAAATATGAATAGTATACACAATTAGTTATGTTTATTACCGTCTTCCCTTCAGTGACTCATCCCAAGGGAGCCAAGTCTGCCGGTCGAAAGAAGGCATACACTTGACCTTCTCGGGCGGTTCGTATTGCCAATCAATGTTGGCCTTGCTCTCATCCATATGCTGCACCACTTCGTTTGTGAAGCCCTTGAGCTTCTTGATGTCCTGCCCCCTTGCGTCTGTGTACTCCAGACTGACGCTGGGTACTACTGCGATCTTTCGGTAACCTTTGTGCCATAGATCCTTGCAGAATAGCTGCGGTTCGCCCTGGAAACATTCGTCCTTCTTGGGGTCTCTGAAGCGCAGGCCGTGGAGGATCGGTGCAGCTGTGAATGCCGTCGCGCCATTCCAGCAAGCGAACACCTGGAAAGGGAGATGAGCGTCGTATGCCATTCGGGCTTCCCTGTTTCCTCTAAATAAATCCCAGGCATCGTCCCATGATCCGTCTTTAGGGATGGGAAAGAAAGTGTCTCCGGCGAGTGTTCTGGCCACCTGTGAATGCGTTAGTCTCAGTCGTGGTATTGAGCGTATTGTAACTTACCCAAACATCATAGAATGTAGGGTCAGGACCCGCGTACGTGAAGTCCATAGCGCATGTCATGTCTGCATTTAAGTTGCGCTTCTGGTGTACAAGCTCGAGTAAATCGTCAGGGCAAGCTGCGACGTCGTTGATGAAAAGGACAGTGGTCTCATCGGAAGCTGGCACCTTTTTCTTGAAGAGTGGTTCAAGTGCCAGGTTACGCAATTGAGCCAACTTGCGAATGCGTGGTCCTTTGGACGGATTAATAGCCGAGTTGTTGTAAAAATATCGTATTCCCAGTTCTTCCAAGAAGGGGTGTAAGGCGACCAGAACATCAGCCGTGCCATCAGGGGAGTTGCCCTCGACAATTGACAGTGCGCATCGCTCGGGCCCGAGGTACTTTATCGTTTCAACAATACTACCCATGAGGCGGGGAAGAAGTTTGACGACATTGCGCAAATTAAGGGCGAAGTAAAAGTCAATGGGTTGCTCATCATCATCATTCTCGCGGGTGTTTTTGCTGCTTAGAAGGCTCTTGTATCGCTTTGTGTCCAAGGGAGGACATTCTAACCTTGGGCGCTCTTTGGATAAGGGATCGAGAATGGCGTGGATGTAAGGAGTGAGGCGCTCGGTAGATAGAACAGAACCTGATGAAGGTTAGTAAGGGTCTTCCTAAGGTCTAGTAATAGAATCTCACCATTTGCAATGGGGATCGAGGATTTTGTTGGTGTAGCAGAGGGAGTAGAGAGTGGTATTGTTGAAGTGACCTGCTCGATGGTGTTTGTTGTATAAGAGTCGATGGTAGAGTATGAAACAGGCTTATCAGCATAAACCGTGTATGCTGATTTCGATATGGAACTTGAGGGAGAGGATATTATTTTTGTAGTAGTTGTTGCAAGGCCTGGTGCATAAAGAGGAAGGTATGTTTCTGATAATCGAGTTATATGGTCGCGACCCAGGTATAAGCTGGTCGAGACTAATAGGAAGCAAACGAGAGGCACACACAGAACAAAGATTGTGCGATGCATTTTGAACTTGCAGCACCTAAAAAGCCATAAGAATAGAGAGAGAAATAATAACTAGAGAATAAAAAAAGGGCGGAATGAAGACAAAAGTATCCCTTTTCCATCAAACGGCTCAAGGGCGAGGGCGTAAAGGGCGCTGATACCGTTTGTGTATTGGTCACCTACTTCAAGGGAAGGGTCCCGTCCGGCTGACGGCAATCTGGGCCCCCCTCCATCAGTAGCAGTACCAACGTGGTGGTGAAAAAAGGCACGTTACAGTGGACTCAGTCTGGAAGCCATTAGCCTCTCATTCGCCAATGCCGCCTCTACCATACCTAAAAAAGTCACCTTGGATTCGGGGACCTCGTAACACGGGAACTAGCAGGGGCGTAGTCTTGCAAACGAAGATAACACGATGATCTCACTGCTGACAATGACCTGACAGAGTATTTATTTAGGAATGAAGTTCTAGCAGGTGACGCTGATACATTCCGAGACCGAGGGTCTAGTTTAACGTTGACTCACTCACTACTAAGGTCATTCACTCACTGGCAGATGCAAATACTTGTCATCTCTATCTGCTATCTAAACACAAGTAATCCAACGTCTTCCAGATCCCAAATCCTTTTCGTGTTCCTCTCATTTTATTTCATTTCCCACTCGCATGTTTAGGCTGAAAATGCCCATGTCCTTTTTGGTTTACTAATTAAATAAATCACTCAGCCTGCATCATTTGTAAGGTAGAAGGATCGAGGCAGGGCTGCAAGGGTTGGAACTTGCCTTTTTGAGCCAAGACAGATGTCAAGTTTCTATCTAAACGAGTAACCAATTGAAATGTCGATGAGTTATCAATCACCTGCAAGGAACATGACAGTCCAGATTCCGATGGAAACGGTTGATCATTCACGTTTAAAACGGTACATTCCAACTAACAACCGACAACCAACAATCAACACAGCAGACCAGGTTCTCTAATTGCCCAAATCTTCAATTGTCAACCCAACAAAAAAGCAAGCAACCCATGACCAGTATCCACGTCTTGATGTGTTGTACAATCAATTCAGCATGATTCTGTCCCCACAGTCATGCCCAGATCAATTAACAAGGTGTGTTCTTCTGACTGTCCATCCTCCATCTTCAACTCTCTTTCTTTTCTCCCTTTTGAGTGAGACGAGGTCCTGTTAAATGCAGCTAACAATACATGCTATTTTATTGTTTCACTTTTACATATGTCGGACCAATGCCCTTTACGCCAAGTTTCCCACTTCAACTGAGACATTAGCCCCCAGTCAGACAAATGGCCTCCTTGCACAGTGTGGCGTCCCATCCGAGATGATAACCTGCGGTTACAAGAACGGCGACCCAGAAGCTGTAAGGACACTTGCAGCTGGTAGTGTATGTTAGCTCAGCACACAAAATGGCCTCTGGGGTATGTGCAAGAGCGGCGGGGATCCCAGCTGTATTCTTGTCGGACGATGCTGGATCACCACGATTGCTTTGGCGGTTGTGGAAAGACGGAAAATACAAAGTTTCTAGCTACAACATGGCAGTTCTGTCTCTCAAGAGTCATGTACTATCAACTGACACGGGTCTTTGAACAGCAAGAAAGAGCAATACTGCAGTTTTGCGTACTTGATCATGGACGAAGGAGACAAATACACTTACATGGCATGCGGTGCCGTCGTAGTGACAGACACTTTCTTCATGACCCCCAAAGTCCCACAATTGACGAAACCCAACACAGAGGCAATGACAGTTGAGACATCAGAACCCTCGACCAACACGACAGATGAGACCACACCGTCGGAAACTGCCTCTGAGACAGCAACTGAGGCCTCTGACGACAATGACCCTCACCCGAGTAGTAACGTGGGCGCAATGGTTAGCGGTGTTGTTGGAGGCCTGGCCGTGGTTTGTGGAACTGCGATTGCTACTCTGTACTCGCTACGGAAGAACCGCGATCACAAACCAGAGACCGAGAAGGGCATTGCTGAAGCCGCAAGTCCGACAACACTTTCCGATGACCCCAAAGCGTTGGTAGGATCGAATCCGTCAGAATTACAAGGAACTGCCATTCACACTCCTCCTCAATAGCCTCCAGTTGAGTTGCCGTAAACAAAACACCGAATGTTCAGTCCCACATTACGAGTAGGGATCAGACCGATGACCACAACTCTAATGTGTGTTTCCAATGCCAGTCCTTACTTAGAAGCACATAGAGGAGTTTATGATGGTTTAGTTTCTTGTTGTACACCTAATATCCTATTGGCATGGCAGGAGTTTCAAGGCCAGTAGAAATGATTGTTTCCGTTTTCTGCATATTTTTGTAGACTAGGAGTCTTGCATATTGGCGTTCATAGCATGAGAAACAGGCAGCAAATAATGCTGAAGGTACTGAATTATAAAATAACTTCACGTTTCGAAAATTAACTGAGACTTGGCATATAAGACGACTGTAGGTTTTGTTGTACTCGTGAAAGAAGATTGGATTCCTGGAAGTATAGGCTAACACCATATATCATCATTGTGGTATGTATAAAAACTGCCATCAAGCTTTGCACCGGTATCATGATGAGTGTTGATTATTCTAGCCTACGATAACTCGAAAAAAAGTGATGGGTATAACGAAACCATGGTCCTAATCCATTCATAACTCCTACTGGCAAAATCCCCTCGCATTTTCCTTTGATAGCCAGTACCTTGACGCTTTGGGACAAGGCTCCAGACATCTGCGATAATGGAAATTAGTAACAGATCAATCATCAAAATCTTAGCTTCGATTGTACATACATCACCATGTTATTCCAAGCCTTGCAGAGACAATCCCTATCGGCTTTTGGGCATTCATCAGGCTGTAGGCAATATGTAAGTGAGATATACATATATAAGAGCATAAGCGAGCATACCGTTATTGTTTCGAGGCATCTCTGGTAAATCCCAGAACATTCTTTGCTTCCAGCAGGTTTGGCAGATACTACAGCTGCAGTGAGAATAATGAGGCTGGTGATGAATTTCATGATGAGTTGAATATTGATTATGTGTATATATCAAAGGTGGATGATGAAAAGAAGCAACAGTAGAGAAAGCCAAGATTGCGCACTTATATGTACTCGAGAGAAATGGCAACTGAATTATAAGATTCACCCGATGCTAGTTTCTTGCGTAATGAGGAATGCATTTGGAGATCGAGACCCTGAGAAAGGATGCCACTATTCCCAGATCGTCGGGTTTAGCACATAGCTAGTCACTTTCCGTGGTTCCCATGTGGGAATGATCAGCCACGACATGCTTGTCTTGAAGATAAGTGCCTGGACTTTACCACATCGAGGCTTGGACTATTGTCTTGATTCTACTCTTATTGTTCTCGTTAATAAATTGCTTTTTGGTAGACCAGGGCCTTTGTTCTGGGCTTGGATGGAACTGTGTGATGTTCTAGAATGACGTTCTACCTTGGAATAATCTGCATAGACTACAATCCCGTACCTGAATGTTTATCGAAGTACAAAGTCGAACGGAAAAGTAGTAGCTCTATAATAAGAAAGGGCCTCAACGTCCAGGGAATGACGACAATGTGAGAGAGTATGTATTGAGACATCTGATCCTCAAATATTCACAGAGACGACCATGAACAAAAATATACGATGGTGATATTGAGTTTAAACATCAATTCAAATTAATAAATCGAAAAAAAAAAAAAGGTTTCAAGAAGCTAAATTAGTACCTAGTATCAAGAAAACCCGCCTACAGGTCTAAGCATGGCAACGACGTTAACCGCATATCTCAACCTCCACAGAGCAATCATCGAAGTGAAAACCCCAGCGACAGCACTCGCCAAAGACCCCTTGCCTACCATCTTTGAAAAAGCCATCCACCACATCATCTTATGGGCAAGGACAATCGTCTTCGAGTCATCGATCCTTGGAAACTTTCCATCAGGGACACTCTTGTCCAAGAACTTGCAAAGCGGTCCCCAGCCTTCCTCAACATGATACTCCAGCGTCTTATCTACAGGAGTCATTCTTCTGACCAACTCATAGTGATCATGGAAAGCCTTCCGCGCTGGTGACTTTGTTGAAAAGTCTGTCATCGTGCCGAAACTAGCTGGCATAGCTTTCTTCGAGAACTCCCAAAATGGTCCTACATTCAAGGAATCCCAACTCGCCAGTGTATCCCAAAGCGGCCAGCGTAGAACACGACCGCCTGTCGAGTCCATACTCCGCAGCCAGCTGTCCACGTCGTACTGTGTGACGATGACCTTTGCTTCTGGGTACGCAGCTACTAGTTCCTCCACGAAGCATATAGCTGGTATCTCGAGCACGGCATCATAAAGACCAAGGATCTTATCAAATTCTTGTCGACCCCAAGGTTTGCCTCTGCCGTGAAATTTTGCATCGAGTGCTTCGCGCCAAAGACGAAAGTTTGTCCTTGGACTACCTATGGCGATAGACATGTAGTATGGGGTATAACCTAGTTGCTTGAGGGCGGCGAAAAGGGTTGATGTTCCTGTTCTAGATTGCCCAAGGCATAGGACGCGCATGGGTTTCGTACGGGTAACTGGATAGGAGTCGATAAGCCGGCCAGTGATGGGATGAGGTTTAATATTGTCAAGTTCGTGCATCTTGAAAGAACCGAGAGAGTCTGAGAGCATAAATTCTCCATCAAAGTTAGAGTTGGACATAATAAGAGAGGCATGTAGTGGTTATTTGGCAAAGGAGTATGTACTTGGAATAACTGAAAAGAATTTCTGATATCGAACCCAGCTTTTGAAGTGTCGAAAGTTGGCAAGTTGCTTTATTATGACTGTGTACGTGTCTCGAGATAAGTGCTGACACCTAAATGCTGTTATGATGAAATAGCCCCCAAGCTGACGTCTCAATCTGTTATTGCCCATTATACTTTGTCGAGATGGTGTGAGACGGTGACTTTTCCATGGCTCGCAAGCAAGGGTAAAGATGCAAGATTCATTTAACCATTGCCAAGAGTCAGTAATCCAACGAATGGAAATGGCCAAAGTACGACACTCAAAAAGTCTTTATCAAGGACGGTGAATAATCAATCTCGGGCTGCTCACCTAATCTGTTGATATTTGACAACAACGCTTTTCGTACCAAGTGGAGCTATGTGCACGGTAGGAAAGTATTCCGCGGATAAGCGGGAATGATATATATTTCCGTTGCTATATATACACATGAAATATGTACAATGAACTGCATAGTTCGTCGTCATTGTCGGAAATATCCCGTGTCTACCCGATCAGACATTGCGAGGTAGTATCCATCGCCCAGCTGCCATGGCAAGATCGTGGCATATCTTTAGGGGAAGTTGGAAGCAGCCTTGAATTCGGTCTGAGGCTTGACACCAACACCTTTGACGATGATGGTGCTTCCAGTAGAGCTGGTGACTCTGACATCAACTGTCTCGGTTCTAAAACCGCTGGGGTTCTCAAAGAAGTTGTACTCCTTTCGAGTGGTTCCAATCCATGATTTGCCATTGTCAGTGCTGACTTCGAGGCTCTTGACAGGAAGGTTGCTGTTGCGAACTTGCATAGAGAACCAAAAGGCGCTCGTTCCTAGGATAGGGTTAGTCATAAATTAAACATTTATTCACAAGGGGGATTCGTAATGGGCATGTATTAGGAGAAATCAATGACTTACCCTCTTTGTTACGCAAAACAAGAGGAGAGGTGATATCGCAAGAGATGGATCTCCAGCTGGTCTGAACAAGACCATTGGTACCACCTACAGCTGTGAAAGCGTCCTCAAAGAGATCCAAGTGTCCCTTGTTGCACTCATTGCATCGATCGACAATCTGATAAGAAGTTAGCATCATACGAAAACTCCAGATGGGAATCCATACCATAGCCTTAATCTTCTTTCCTGTTGGGCCAGTAACTTCAATACAGCTACCGCAGACGCCCGCATTGTTCCAGTTGGGGCCAGAGAAGGCAGTTCCGTAGATGCCAGAAGGAATGGTATAGGCCACAAGTCCACAAGCGCCCCCTCCAACGTTGCCACCGTAGTGCGTCGAAGTCCCAGAGTTGACCTCGTCACTGAGATATCGTCCTGCAACAAGAGCTGGAACAGCAAGGAGAATAGAGAGGAACTTCATGTTGAAGAGATGTGTGGAATCGGGTAAGACGAGGAAGTTTTCTGATGAGTGGCTCGGTGAAATATTGTCAACCAGCGAAATCATCAGCCCTTATATATCGCAAACGTTTCAAAAAACGAGTACCGACCTTTTCTCATCCCATAATCCAGTCCACGATTTGTTTTCGTCATGGTCCTTGATTTCCCTCCCCGGGATGCCCACGGGAACTTGCAGGGATACCTAGTCGATGCAAGGCCTGGACCTGACCAACGCAAGGAAGCCCATGAAACCACCATCGGTGGCAATCTGCATTATTGTTTCACCTATAATCGATCGATGTGCGTGAGAAGCAACCCGTCATTCGATCAGTGTTTTGGCCATGCCGTCCTGAACCTTGTTAGCCGATCCGTTTCAACGGATCTCAACAGCCGATGTGAGATATATTGTGTTTAAGGTTTCGTATTGATGTGATAGCTGTAGTGACTGGTGGAAATATGCTAGTGTACATATGATCCTTCATAACCCAAAATCTAATAGTGTTACGATAGTAGCAAAATAGGCAAGTCGGAAAATACTGGTCGACGGAGATACCGAGAACTGGCCTATTTGAGCTTTAAAGTTTCTGAGTCGAAGTCAGCGTACCAACCGTCTTGCACGTTTCAAGGTGACATACCAGGGTTGCAACACTAATCTGAGCAATTTCCATCGCCAGCCAAGAGAAATTTCAACCACATCCATGTATATCGTCATTCTCTAGCCCAGCCATGGCCCATGGTTACTAGATTTCCAGGTTATCGCGCCGACAAGGGGCACCAACTTGTTTCTCAGCGTGACTTTGCTGCGACTTTACTCCGCTGTCATGCACTGTTGTCCCCTTTTCGGTGGATCCTTGCTTGTCGTTTTATTCGTTGTTGTCATCCTTGTAGCAATCTTGAATCTCTGTGAGAAGTCTCGATTTCAAAGTCGAGTACGGCTTGAAGGCGAGCTTCTTCATCCGGATAGAAAGCTCTGAGGACATGGCACCCGTTGGCTTGTGGAGCGTGTGTGGATACTCAAATTTGCTCAAGAAAGCAAGAGAGATTTGTCCATTGTAGAAGTACATGAACTCTGAGTTCTCCTCGTCGACATACATAGCACCAGTCTATAGTAAGGTAGAGTTAGTTCCTGACCTTAACCGCACCCGACAACGAAGAGCATGTTACCTTGAAAACGTGATTTTGACGAAACCTAGTTTGAGGAGAACTCTTGTCTTCAGCCTGTGATTGTGCAATCCCTATGAGTACAGCGAGGATGTATGGATCACGCCACTGATCTTCTGGTTCGAGTAGCTTCAAGCGCATCTTGCGCAACATCTCTGCCGGAGGATTAGACCGTCTTGGCCTAGGAGGTTGAAAAACACCTTCTCGTTGAATCCGGATCATTCCTTTTTGGAGGAAAGCAAAGACTGGTGCTAGACTGCCAGATGAACGCATTGAAAAGACAGCGCCATGCAGACGATACTCATGCTTCTTGCCGAAGCAGAAGTAACCAAAGGGTCTATGGAACGACTGTAAGAACGCCAGCAGATATCAAATAGTTCGAAGATCATACCTCTGGAACCGTAGAGGCCCACCATCTTCAGAAATCAGTTTCTTGAGGGCTGCAGTTTTCATTTCCGAAGTTGCTAAGCGCTCAGCTGTCCTTGCATCACGATCGACGGTCTTCTTACTCCCCGATGCTTCAGATGCACTTGTCTCCGAAGTTTCTGATATGTTCTCTGTAGACTCATCTATGAAGGAGCACTTGAGCAGCTCCAGGTGCATTTGTATCCATTCCAGAGGCTGGACGAGAAGCCGCTCCCTTGGATGCTGGCGGATGATGTCATGGATAGATTTTGGCTCTTTCATTGCAACGGTGGTGCCTAGAATAAATAAAAACTGACTTGAGATGTATGCTTGTTGTTCGATATTATGCGGTCAATTTGTGGTTACCGGAACTGTTGGGATGGTGGTCGAGAAAGCGTGATACGGATATTCTTTTGGGGAATTCCAGGTTCCGCTGTCTCATATTTTCTCACGTGAGCCCCAACGCAGCAACGATGAATATATCCAAACGACAGTATTCAGGCAACAAAGCAAACACACACAGACAGGAACAAAAGACCAATTTGGCTATTTCAAAAGGCACCACTGCAAACGGACACCTACAGAAACTAGATTGGAAGCTAAAATTCGTGCAGTATGCAATTCTTCGCCAGTTGATATCCTGTTTTAAACCCTGTGTCATATAGTTGACAAAGAGCACTTGTAAAACTCTTTCAAATCATCAGCCCGCCACTTGGTTCCCCATCCACTCTCCCTCTCGATTCGATCCAGCATGTCCAATATCGCCTTGTGCTCGCTTGGATGGCTCATACACCGTCCGGCAACCCATAGTGGCTGAACACTATTCGTCCATGCCCCATGATGTTCATTCGACATACTTATACCGCAGACCTGCCTTGCATGCCACAGGATACTTCTAGGTTTTGAAGAATGGCCTAGCCGTATCATAGCTGGCTGGTTTTGAAGCATGAGAATCGATGCAGTGTGGTGCATTTGGTTTCCGGACATAGCCGCAGGATTTGAGTACAGTATGGTTGGAAAGGGCGAGGTTTCGTTCGATGGGATCGTCATGATAGGATATAGAGGTGCTGGTCGTTCTTGATACCACTCGCAGATGTACTTCCACAATTTGAGCCACTTGGTACGGAATTTGACTTCGTTTCGAGTCGGTTCTGATGGAGAAGGTGCTAATAGATCAAGCACTTGGGCTGTCAGATATACCGCATAGTTGGCCCATTCCTCAAAGTTCGAAGCATTCTTAAACAGCTCGACATCATTCTCTATTGAGGAGGTTTTTGACGCCCAGTGATTGATGGGTATGAGGGTTTTGACTGATGAGATCAGGCCGCCGCAGATATCCATACGCGCAAAGCACCAGAACAATGCTTGCTCTGTGCCTCCGACGAAACCATTGATTCTCACGGCTTCCATGAGACTTGCGCAGCCGTCTAGATGTCGTTGCCACGCTTTAGGAGAACAACTCAGCATCTCCAGCACACAAAGTATAACACATGTAGCAATGACGGCTGTTCCGCGTGTTGGTAGGTGTGGGAGCAGCAGATGTATTGCTTCTTGATAGAGGGCAAGGCTACGGCTGGTCGCAAGAGTATGCTTGAGCTCGAGTTGTCGTGCGGAGAGAGCTAGCATTGAGTATCGTAGATGGCCATTATCCTTGGTCATGGTAGGGATAATCTGCTGGAAGTGCCGGTCCCTGTCGAATTTATCTAGCCATGGGGCGATTTCGTCAAAGTAGTTCTTCCAGAGAGCGCACTCTTCCTGTTGCGACAAGAGCGGCGTTTGGGAAGACTGAAAGTCATTTATGGGAATCGTAAGCTCTGTGTCGTCTAATGCAGCACCTTCGGGTTCAGCTTCCACTTCAACATGTGGTGTGGCCGATCTTGTGGGCGCAATTGACCGCGTCTCCTGAATAAGATGGTTCCGCAATGTCGAGTGCAATTCATGATATGCAGAGCCTGGCAGAAAGATGCCATCTTCTGAAACCCCCTCTGGCGTAAATGGTTGCAATTGGTCGATGTACGGATATTCTGTAATAATGTCAATCGGAACTGTGTCCATAGACACGTGAATAGCAGGGTCAATCTCGACGGAGGGGTGAGATTGGCCGTTCTGGCTAAAATAAAGCAGGTCGGCAACAGCGTTATCTGTTCGTCGCTGCGATGTAGGTGACGAGATGTCAATCAAAGGAGGTCTTTGGATAGGTACATAGCCGTCTACCGTGCTGGAGCTGGTATCTGATGGTCTCTCGGTGACGACAAGACTCGACCGACCTATGATGTCGAAGGAATCAATACAAGCCGTTGGTTCTCTCAGAACATCAGCTTACCATGTGTGCGACTATGTGGGTAACTGCCGGTAAAATTGCTACGATCTTCCTCCCCTTCATCGGTCTCAGCTCCATTGTAATCACGGATGACTTCATCCGTGACATCCAAGATCTCGAACTCCTTGGGCGGTTTCCTCCGGGCCATCTTGCGCATCGAAGGATGACGTGCATTCAAGCACCGGGCATGCTCAGCCCGGAAGGCAATCTTGAGACCCCATTCGCAGGGTTCGTTGCGACGGCGACATGTACCGCAGGAGGGTCGAGCTTCGTCGCATTTGCGCTTTTTGCGTCTGCAATTGAGACATCCTGATCGCGTGCGCTTATGCTTAGCGGGCTCGGCTGGAGAGGGACGTTCCATAAGTCAACTGTAGCCGGTGTTGGCAATAAGAATGGGTGAGTTATTGGGATGATGATGTGAAGTATTGGCGGTAAGGAGTGGAGATGGGAAGGAAGGTATGGATCAGGAAAAAGATGTCCTAATTCTGGAGGATAACGGCAGTTGCAACCAGACTTGATGCCTGCCCGATGACATAAGGGTATAAACAACTGAATCTCTAGTCGAAACAGAATAACCTGACATGGTAATTTCGTCTCTTGTGCTTCTGCAACTGACAATTACTACCCAATGCCATCTCCAAACATCTCTCGAATAGGATTAGTCCACCTCGGCTTAGACTTGCCCAAAACATAGCAAGCATGACAACTCTTGTGGGGATCATCCAAAATTGTTTCATTGTAGTAACTTTGCTGCGGAGTTGCTCGATACATGTTAGTGTGTCATCTCTCGATCCCGATGTGATTGCCGTCAGAATGTGGGGATAGGAACAATACATTTCAGTTTGGTAATTGCAAGCGGACTTTACAAAAGACTAGAACCAGAATGTACCTGACTTAGCCGATGGAGTGGTTGCTTGAGTTGAAATGTCTTGTGACCTCTCTTTGTCTATTTCGATTTAATTCTTGACTTGATCACTATGGGAACTGTATGTCTGAACTGTGTGTATGTCTAAACAAGGCTATTTTCATCATGAACAAAACAATTCTCAAAACTCAGTTGCCGTGTATTCCCGTTGTTACAGATAAAACCCCTCAGAATACTTCCTTTATAGGTGACAATACGGCTAGAATCCACCTTTTGGAGAGAAAAACAAGGCAATTAGACGCTCCCCATCCCTGAATTCGGCTGCCTAAATTCGCCGAACCATGGACCTTACCCCTCAAGATTCTACGCTATTGGAAAAGTTGGGCTGTGACAAGAGACGAAATTAACAAGTCAGTTTATGCTACTTATATAGAGCCTTTAGGTTATTTATTTTATACCCTAAATCGTAGTGGTCTTCCCCACGGCGCTTGCAGATGCCTTCTATGTTAACCCGCCAAATAGAACCCCAGACGATGCTGAATGTTACAGTGACCTGACTCCCCACGGGGAAAACCGCACCAAGACCTTGGAACCAACCTTGCTTTACGCGATTCAATCCAACGGATTCTATTTCTTTGTTGCGATTGTACAGTACAAAATGATGATCGCGGTATATATATCAACATGAATTCGCCCCATCTTTTTTGTTCGAATGGTGTTGTTCTGTATCGGATAGCATCAGCAAAAACTACAGCTGCTGGATAGCTTCAATTACATACACTCTTCACTTCTACCTTCTTTTGTCCCCGGTCGCCCACTATGACTATCCTCGTCGGAAAGCCCCTGGACTGGGCCATCACAGCGACTGCTGGCTCAGGCTTCCTCCTCTTCGGTTACGACCAGGGTGTCATGTCAGGCCTCTTGACAGGCACAGCCTTCACTAACACCTTTCCTGAGATTAACACGACCGAAGGTGGGAACGGAAGTTCCTCTCTGCAGGGCACCGTAGTGGCCATCTACGAGATTGGATGTTTCTTCGGTGCCATCTTCTGTCTTGCGTTCGGTGAATACTTTGGAAGGCGCAAGTGTATACTGATGGGTTGTGTCGTTCTCAGCATTGGAGCTGCTCTCCAAGCCTCTGCTTTTGGTATTCCCCAAATGATTGTTGGGCGCATTGTCGCGGGCTTGGGAAATGGGATGAACACCAGTACTATTCGTGAGTTAGTTCAATTCCGTTAAAAAGGCCCCTAGCTAAAATCCCACAGCTGTATGGCATTCTGAATTGATGAAGGCCAATAACCGTGGAAAGGGTCTTGCCATTGAACTCGCGATTAACATCTTTGGAGTCATGCTGAGCTACTGGGTCGACTATGGCATGTCCTTCGTCAATAATGATGCCCAATTCCGATTCCCCCTAGCCTTCCAGATCTTCTTCGCCATCCTGACCTTTATCGGTATTCTTCTCTTGCCCGAGTCTCCTCGTTGGCTCATCAACCACGACCGCCACGAGGAAGCCCGCGAAGTTCTTTGGTCTGTGCGAAAGAACGCCAAGTCCATCTCAAAGGACGATGGATCCGTCAGTCGCGCCATCGCGGAAATCCAACATGCCATCAACGAAGAGCGAGATGCGGCCCAAACCAGTAGCTTCAAGGCTATGTGGAAGAACGGCGAGCAGAAATTCCTGTACAGAACGATGCTCGGTATTGGTGGACAGTTTATGCAGCAGGTGAGTCACTAGACAAGCCCTTTAGGATGGCATGACTAACAACTATTCTCTACAGCTCTCTGGTATCAACTTGATCACATATGTAAGTATACTCTTCCAGTGACGGTCAACATGAACCCAACTGACAAATCCCAGTACGCCCCTGTCATCTTCCAGGAGTCTGTCGGCATCTCGCACAACCTTAGTCTGCTGCTAGCTGGCTTCAACGGTGTCGCTTACTTCTTCTCCTCGCTCATCCCAATTTGGATCATTGACCGCCTGGGTCGCCGAAAGCTGATGATGTTCGCCGCAGCGGGCCAGGCAGTCTGCATGGCTGTTCTAGCAGGAACTGTTTCAACTGGGCAGCCAGGCCCTGGAATCGTCGCCATCGTTATGCTGTTCCTATTCAGTAAGCTTTCTTTAAGAAATAGAGAGCTACAAAACTAACGAATTCGCAGACTTCTTCTTTGCTGTAGGATTACTTGCCATTCCCTGGTTGCGTAAGTTACAATAGCTCATGCATATGAAGCCGCGAAAGAGACTAACACCATCTCAGTGCCCGCCGAATACGCCCCCTTGGCTATCCGTACTCGTGCCGCCGCCCTCGCTACCGCTTCCAACTGGATCTTCACCTTCCTCGTCGTCGAAATTACTCCTGTGTCCATCTCGAGTATCGGCTGGAAGACATACATCTACTTCTGTATCTTTAATGCCTGTTTCGTTCCTCTCATCTACTTCTTCTATCCCGAAACTCGACTCTTGTCCCTCGAGCAGATCGACAAGCTGTTTACTGGCTCAAAGGTTCTTCTTCACTGGGATCACAGCATGGGTGTTCCTGGAGAGGCTTCTGAGAAGAGTGATGGTGAGACGGGTAAGTCGTCACATGATGAGAAGGCCGAGGCGGAAGTCCATATGCGTGAGTAGAGCACACTCAATGGGTGTTTGTATAGGTTCCATGATGCGTTTCGCCTGTCTCTTCTAGCTTGTAGAGTTAAGGCACATTTCAATATATGTTCGTTCGACAGTATAGGTTGTTGTCTCGCTCTACTTAAATGGCATCGTGGTAAAGAAAATTGACAGTCCGATTGATACCCTATATACTATCCCCAAGCTCACTTCCATTTGAACCAGTTTGGTTTCTTCTTGTCGGCTTCCTGATTCTTCTTCCATTCCGTTTCCTCCTGAGCCATCCAAGCCTGCATCCTCATGCACTTCTCCTCCATTTGAGCATCTGTCAAGTAGCCCCGTCCACCATCCTCTGCAGTATCTTTATCCTTGGATCCCAGGTAAGATCCCTTGGTTACACCCAGTGTATCGCACAACCCTTCTGACTTTTCCATCAACCATGCTCCATGTCGGAGACCATCACGCCAATGAGGTGGTAGGGTCTTGTAGCCAAGTAACGCTCCAAGAAGAGCACCGGCAAAACAAGCATTTGTGTCTGCGTCTCCACCCTCCATAGTAAGGTCGGTAATCAACTTTTCGAAGATAGCAAGCTGAGAGTATAGTTGGCCGGATAACTTAAGCTGACGCAGTGCAAGGCGGAGGAGCAAAATGCCAGAGCCAAAGGTCTTGTAGACGTAGCCAATCTTGTAGCTCTCATCCAACTTGAGGTCTGCGAGTTTTTGAGCTGTGGCATGTTGTCTGAACTCAGCAAGATCTAGTCGCGGCTCGTCTTGTCTGTCGGGCTCTTGGAGCTCCTTTTCGCGAAGCTGGGTGTACCAGGCAAGGCCAGCTTCGATCAAGTCATCAACATGTTGCTCTTCATATATCTCGCCAAGTACAAGACCCCTGACAAGAGCAGTTCCAATCGCACAGGAAACCACACATCTTGGGTCCACATGAGTAACCACAGAGAAATCGGCTGCGATCTGGAAGGTTTCCTCGATCGACTTCCCGAGACACATGAGTCCCAGTGGATGCGTTCTCATTAAGCTCCCGTTGGGCGCAGCGTTGTATTTGCCCGTGACCCAAAACTTTCGAGCTGTTCCTTCAGGGTCGTCTAGATAGGATTTGCTCCTGACGATACCACCAACAGTCCGTCCCAAACCAAGAGGCAGGGTATCGAGAGCTCTCAATCCCATGCGTACCCAGACAGAGAGCCTCGAGGCAAAGTCTTGAGGATCTAGCTTCTTGCCATCGCCATGGAGATATGAGAGCAGTATTAAGATGGCATGGTCTGTGTCATCTGTGGTTTCGCCCGTGCGGTGAAAATTTCTGTGATGATCACGACGAAAGGGAGTGGCTTTCTCAATAGGGAGTAGAGTAAAGGTACGGTCTGGGTAAGCTTTTGAAGAGATCTCAGCAGAGAGAAATTCGGTGTACAATCCGATTGCGTCTCCCAAGGCTGAGCCAAAGATGGTACCAATGATACGGTCTTGGAGGTATGAGGGCTCCAAGGCTTTGTGTGCACTTTGTGATAATGATATAGACGCCATTTCTTGTGGTGTGCTGAATTTAATTCACTTGAGAGACGTGGGAAAAAACAAGGGAAGGCTTGAATGTTTTATTATATGCGTACATGTCTAGCTGAGGCAGCCAAATTAATGAAACAACCTCACAAGGCACCCACTGATTCGAGGTTGGGGTTAGTGCCTTGATCTGGGCGGTGGCAGTGAAGACGCCACAGTACGCCAGGCCTCTTAGACTTGACACAGCATATTTGACAGAACCTACGTAGATCACAATTTCAACTGTCGATGTTTATGGCAGCTTTTTAAGTCTTAAATTCGGTCCATATAATGAAGAAGTAAATCATCATTCCAATTATATACCTGCGTATAGATAACCTCCGTGACGATTGCGTGGCGCTTAGGATGATAGTAGTAACCCTGTCATGTCTTCAAGGCCCTTCTCCCCATCAATCAATCCCGCCTAACCTTCGCTGAAGACCCTGTCCTTTGAGCTGTTGCCTACCTATCTTCGAGTCCTTCCATGTTGATGCGATATAATGACCGTTACTCCGTTCCTGCTTTTGTATACGTTTCCGGAGCAGACCACCCGAATAGAACCTTCTCCCAGAATGGCGATTCCTTAAGATTGTTAGACATCCGGAAGGTCGATGCATAGGTCTTGCTTCTCAAAAATGCCACTTACTCCGTTGGGGACGACATGGCCCTTGTCCTTCTTTCTTCGTCTCTCGTGTATGTCGTCGCAATTAAAATCCCGACGGAAGTTGCCATTGGATTCAAGCCGATGCAGGAGCTCTGGCGAAGACAGGTACTACTAGAAATGTTGCAGTGTAGTGTTCATTCCTTCCTCAACCAAATAGGTCTCGCCCAACATGAGGCTACAGCTTCCGAGCTACAGAGAGCCTTTTACCTTCTGAGATGTCTTGTTACTCTTCTTTCTGAATCTTCTTATTTCACGCGTATATCAAAAAGTAAGTGATACTGTATCCGAGTTCAGTATGTAGTAGAACATGCTTCTATGGTTGGTTGTATGTTGATCTTTGTTGAGCTTCTGACATTAAAGTGTCGAGGTAGGTGTCACGTCTTCAAGGGCTCTTTCCTTATCTGTGTAAGTATTTCGCCTACTTAAATCGCTATTCAGGTCTTTCTTTTGTCTGGCGTCACTGCGGTCCTTGATTCGATGCTCTGTCCGGGTCTCGTTTCCATTGGCTTCAGTGGTCAGGAGCAAAGCACCCTCGCGGGATGTCTATAAGAACGCTCTCCCCCCCCCTTCTTTTTCTTTTTCTTTTCTTCTTTTCTCCTTCTCTTTTCTCCTTGGGATGAAGGGGGGTAACTCTCGACTTCGACTGATCTGAAGTCCGACGTTCAAGGTGTCGGTCGGCAGGTGAAGCGTCTTCTAGGTTCCCATTTCAGAGACGTGGTGGGTATAAGGTAGCCCCAGTCCAGTTTTTGATTGCTTTCATTGTGTCCCTGGTATTACAATACCTCTAGGTGATGCACAATTTTTTCATTGCATTCAATGGCTTGCCGGTGGTGCGAAGAAGAAAACTAGCCCTCCCTTCTGTGAACGTTGCGTTGACGCTGGATCATATTTTAGGTGGGATGACTGAAAGTTGTGTGGTGAACCCAACATGATGTCGGGGATGGAGACAATGGATGAAGGAGTTTATTGGGCTAATGAAAGGGAACTGGTCTTATTCATGGTCCAAGAGAAAGTTTTGTTGTGTGCTGGAGTCTGATTGCCACTTTATTGAACATTAACTCAATAGAAACTCCAATCCCCATTATTAAAGTCTATTCTTTTCAACTATGCAGATGCGCAGTGACCTCCATCCACGCGCAGATCCGTCCCTGTCACGAAAGAGGCACCCTCAGACAGCAAAAACACCGCCGGCGCTTTGAAGTCCTCAGGGGCACCCAGACGTCCCAGAAGAGCACCAGCCATCCACGTCTTCTCGACCTCGGGGTTCTCTTGGAGCAACTGGTCCGTCATGGCAGTTCGAATGTAGCCGGGAGACAATGTGTTGACTCGAATACCGTATTGACCCCATTCCTGAGCGACCGATCGACACATTTGCTGGACTGCAGCTTTGCTAGAGTTGTATGCTGTGCAAGAAAGACCCTGATTCTTGTTAGCACTGTTAGAGTTGTAAGATGCTTGATTGACTTACTCGGTTGGCAATGTTGCCTGACATGCTTCCGATAATAACAATACTTCCAGGACTGTTCTTTTCCCGTAGTACTCTTGCAGAATACTTGCAAGTATTGAATACACCAGTGACATTGACTCGTAGAATTCGGTCAAAGTCGGCAGCAGGATAGTCAAGGGCTGCGATTTGTTGCTGGATACCAGCACAAGCAATGGTCCCCCAGAACGGCGCTCCAAACTTGTCAGCTTCAGCTGCAATGTCCTTCATCGCTGTCTCGACAGACTGCTCTTCTGTTACATCACATTTCCGGTACGACACGGAAACTTTGTTGGCTGTGGCGAGTTTGTTGAGCTGTGCCCACTCTGCTTGCGATGGCTCTTCGAGAATGTCTAAACAAGCTACGCTTCCGCCGGCTTCGACCACAGCAATGGCTAGAGTGATACCCAGACCACGCGCTCCACCTGTGATAGCGATAGTCTTATTCTCGAGGGAGAAGAGCTTGTAGGTTGATGCTTTTGAGGCGGGTGTCTCTTGGGATTCGGGCACATTGGCCGGGAGCTCAATGTCTGAGACGATAGCAGGAGCCATTGTAATGTTGAGGATGTTGAGGTACGAGAAATTGAGGGACAAGAGTTGAAGCTGATGAGAAACGAAATGTTGGAAAGACTCTTCAGGTTATACGATCGTTTAGAGTATCCATTTCTGGAGATACTAAGGTTGGTCTGACATTTGTGAGTTGGCAAACTTCCATGGCAACGTTCGGAGGGAAATTGTATGCGAAGGATGATGTGTCGGAATTAGATTCAAAGGCCAAGATTGGAGTATATGGAAGGGGGCTATTGTAGCCGGAGGTTGTCACATTGTCATGTCGTGGAGATTGTTTGGCGGAGCTGGAAGGGAACAAAAAGAATCACTCAATCTGGCGGTTACCAGACACAAGTTTGGGTGCTTGCATCGCCACATTAGCCCATCTAACTAGTCGTCGACCTATTTTGGCCAGTCTCTCGTTGCACAAACGAAATAGCTTTTCTTCTTCTTGGTCATTACTCCCAATTATACCCATACAAAGAGTGCCCAGAAGTTGGCCCTCGAGCTTGAACAGCGTACCAGTACTAATCGTCCCCCGTGCTCTCAGCGTTTGTCTTTCCCCGCAGAGTGACCCTACCATCATCGGCTTCTTGTTGTGTCATCTCAATGGCAGTTCTAAGCGCTTCCTATGGGTCTCTAACCTAGCCTGTAAGGGGAAAAGCCAACATTTGGCTGCCTCCACTTTCCCCATACAGAAGCCTCACAGCAAGATGGCAGTCTAAGAGGATCCGATACCCCAGAACCCCACGGCGCTTTCTCTTACTTTGTAGGGAATATTCGAGAGTTGCAGTAGAACATCATCAACATTACGAGGACAATCACGCGGCAAAGATGCTTTCTGAAATGCTTATATCTCAAGCGAAGCTGCCGGCTCGGCAGCTCAGTTCATCTCCCATCCCCCTGTCTGAGAACAATCGCAATCTCGACTCAAGATGGCACCCAGTGCAATTATCCCAGAGACACAAGATGAGCATACAGCTCTATCCAACGTTGTCAAGTTGATCAAGAACGATGACTCCAAGACAATCGATCTTGCTTTGCGACAATTCCGTTGTTTAATTGCTGATCTATGTGAGCAATTCAAGGGCGGCCACCCTGGGTAAGTCATACAGTCTTTGACAAAAGTATCACATATACTGACCAGCTTTAGAGGTGCTATGGGAATGGCCGCCATTGGCCTCGCCCTCTGGAAATACATCATGCAGTACTCTCCCAACGACCCGGAATACTTCAACCGCGATCGCTTCGTTCTCTCCAACGGCCACACATGTCTCTTCCAGTATACATTCCTTCATCTCACTGGTTACAAGGCCATGACCTTTGAACACCTCAAATCCTACCACTCCTCCAACTACGACTCCCTGGCACCAGGACATCCCGAAATCGAGCATGAAGGCATCGAAGTGACTACTGGTCCTCTTGGCCAAGGCATTGCCAACGCTGTCGGTCTTGCCATGGCTACCAAGAATCTCGCCGCCACCTACAACAAGCCTAATTTCGAACTTGTCAATAACATGACTTATTGCATGATAGGGGACGCATGCCTGCAAGAAGGTGTCGCTCTTGAAGCCATACAGCTGGCGGGCCACTGGAAGCTCAATAACTTGGTGGTCATGTACGACAACAACCAGGTTACCTGCGATGGCAGCGTCGATCTCTGCAACACCGAAGATGTCAACGCCAAGATGCGCGCTTGCGGCTGGGAAGTGATTGAGGTCGAAGATGGTTGCTATGATGTTGAGGGTATCGCCGAGGCCCTCATTAAAGCCAAGGCAAGCACTGACAAGCCCACTTTCATCAACATTCACACCGTCATCGGTGTTGGTAGTAAGGTTGCTGGCGATGCCAAGGCTCACGGTGCTGCCTTTAGCCCCGAAGGTGTCAAGGCCGTCAAGGAGCACTTCGGCATGGATCCTGACCAGCATTACGTCGTATCCGATGAAGTTTACAGCTTCTTCCGTGACCGTAAGGCCCGCGGCGATCGTCTCGTCGAAGACTGGAAGAATCTCATCGACGCTTACAGCAAAGAGTACCCCGAGCTTCACCAGGAATTCATCAAGCGTGTCGAGGGTCGTTTTACAGAAGACTGGCGAAGTATTATTCCTGCTAAGGAGTCACTGCCTACTACTCCAACGCCTTCTCGAAAGTCTGCTGGCATCATCTGTAACCCTCTGGCTGCCAAGCTTAAGAACTTCATGGTTGGTACAGCTGATCTGTCACCCTCTGTCAACATGATCTGGAAAGACAAGGTTGACTTCCAACATGTAAGCAAGCCCTCATGATTAAACCGGAACCATTAGCTGACACTGTCACAGCCCGGTCTCAAGACCACATGCGGTATCAATGGAGACTACTCCGGCCGCTACATCCACTGGGGAATTCGTGAGCATGCAATGGCTTCTATCTCGAACGGTCTCGCCGCCTACAGTAAAGGCACCATCCTCCCTGTCACCTCCAGCTTCTTCATGTTTTACATCTACGCCGCCCCTGGTGTCCGCATGGGTGCCCTCCAAAACCTCCAGGCCATCCATATCGCCACCCATGATTCTATTGGTACCGGCGAGGATGGTCCTACTCATCAACCCATTGCTCTTGCGACTCTATACCGCTCCATGCCCAACATCCTTTATATCAGACCTTGCGACACGGAGGAGACTGCCGGTGCCTTCATCACCGCCCTAGAGGCAAAGGACACCCCTTCTATTATCTCCCTCTCCCGACAGAACCTCGAGCAGTACCCTCAGTACTCGAGTCGTGAAGGTGCACAGAAAGGTGCCTACGTGTTCATCGAGGAGGAGAATGCCGACGTCACCCTGATCGGTGTTGGTGCTGAGATGCTCTTCGCCGTTAAGACTCGCGAGGTCCTCAAGGACAAGTTCGGTATCAAAGCCCGCGTCGTCTCCTTCCCCTGCCAACGCCTCTTCAACGTCCAACCGCTTGAATATAAGCGGCAGGTTCTACAGTATCGTTCCAACGCCCCCCGTGTTGTTATTGAAGCCTATGCCGTTAATGGTTGGGAGAGATACGCCGACGCTGGTTATTCCATGTCAACATTTGGCAAGTCGCTACCTGGAAAGGATGCATACAAGTACTTTGGCTTTGACGAGACTATCATTGCTCCAGAGGTCGCCAAACTCGTAGAAGAGGTCAAGAAGGAGGGCATCGAGAGTCTACGCGGCGAGTTTAGGGACCTTAACAACGTGACACATGAACATTGATGGATCATTGAGAGATAGGTAAAGGAACAGCATGGACTTTGGAGTTAGTGTCGGTAATTTTAGTCACGATAATAGCAATGCGTGGAACAAAAGCTTTCTTGTTATACTATCTCAGTATCGAGATCACTCACTCCTTGTGGCGCCCTTATATCCTCCCAATGGCATCCTGAACTTATTTGTGCCATCCCAGACCCAGGTTGTATTCTCCAAAAAAAAATCGAACTATCCTCAATGCTTCTTCGTAATAATCCAGTAGGACGTCGTTCAAACGAGTCACAAGTAATGCTCATGGCGACTCATCCTGTACGCGACTTGCGCTACCGATGGCCAAGATCAAAGTCTCAAAATGACAAGATAATGCGCCCAATTCGTATGACACCAGCGAGTCATTTCATCCTCTTGTAGCTTCTTGACCATGCATCTGTCTTCCCTGTGGACGAATGATGATGTCTAAAGGTGGCAGTGATTGTACACCCTCCATTACAAACTGGCTGATGGTCTGAATACCGCCGTTGATCCCCCTAGGCCATATCGCCCATGATTCCTGGACTCTAATCATTACGCCCTGCCCAGCGTTCAATACCGAGTCCGCGAAATACTGCCTGGCTTGGCGAGTTTGTTGGGACGTGTACACAACGCTCTCAGTCACATTGCTAATACTGCTCTGCGCGAGATGTGTGGACGTTGAAAGGGCTCGTTGAGCAGTCTGCACTCCCGGGATTTTATGGAAAAGGGATACTTCGTTGTCCACTGAGGGATTCTTTTCGTATTCTTCGGAATTGAAGGGACCGATGGGAGCATCGTAGCCTAACAGGTTTGGGCGCTCCTGCTTAGCGCGGTGTTCAAAGTAGTCCTCTTCCGGGTCGTGGTCTTCTGCAACCTCGACCATGCCGGTGTTATCAAACGTCAGGGGTTGTGAATCCTTTGGGGCTTTGGTCTTTCTCCATGAGCGCTTGTTGAGCTGAGCAGTCTGAGATACAGCTGCAAACTCAACTACAGCATCAACCGTCTGCGTGTCGATAACCACGAGATCATCTTCGTCACCGCTGAGTACGATTCTTTCTTCTATATGGTCGTGAATAGGGACATGCTCGAGTTCGGGAGCATCGTCTTGACTTTCTTGCCGGGGTGTAAGGACCAAACTTCGAGTTTGCAGTGTATTGGCGTTCAGCTCAGAATCCGACGACGCGTCGTGATTGCCGATAACCATTTTGCTTTCCCTCTCTGGACCAAATCATCTGCTTCCTTTTGACTAATAATGTATGTGCAGCCGAGGAGGGAAGTTTGGCGGATATTCCAAGGGAAACAACAACTTTAAGGCGTGTGATGATAGGTGGGGTTTGTGTTTGCTAGAAGCCTTGAGACAAATAGTATTGTGTTTGGGTAGGACTTGCAAAGGAAGAAAGGGAGGATTATGAGGAATTATGTGGCCAAGAATGTTCTAAATAGTCGCGAGATGGAAAGCCTGGCACTGCCGCAACAGACCGGAGGTGGGTTGGGATGAAGGGTCACAGAGGATGTGAATCACAGTCCACTTTGCGCAGATTTGTTTGACTTTCTCGGATATTCATCGAATCTAAACTAATTTTCTTTCAAACGCAAAGTTTTTCTATCTTTTCGCTTTGCATTCTTTCAAACAACAGTTTAACGTACTTGCTTACTCCTTATTGTCCTTCAGGGTCGATATCACCGTTTGATGTTTGACTCCTTTTCTGGTAACATAAGCCGAATAACTTATACTTGCCATAACATGTGCAAGTATTTCTCTTCTGATGCAAGTTATTAGTTTTAAATGAAGTGGGCGCTTGGCATTGACTGAGAATATGTTTTAACTTTTCATTAAATCAGAACACTAACCAACATGGACTTTGTGACTCTTAAAACCATTTGTTTAAGGTAAAAAGTAAATCTATCCGGAGGATGTTAACTTGTAAAGTTTCCACGGCTGGGCTGTTTCCAAGGCCCAATCAAATTGGTTACCAGTGTTTAAACTCTGGCAGGACAAGAGGCAAATGGAAGTAACTTCATAGGTAGTCAGTCATCTTCATGAACAGCTCAAAATGCAAAACCAGCTGAATCTTATGAAGAGAATTACCTCGTAAAATCTCATCAGTTCATGAAGAAAGTTCATGTTGCAATGTAGAATCTATATACATAAGTTTAAAGAGTTGCCAAAGAGTATCTTCATCGCGTTCCTTCTCATCCTCTCGTTCAAATTTCTTCCTCACTCTCCTCCCCGACACTTCCCTCGAACGATTTGTATTCAGCGCCGACCTTCCAGTATACCTATTACGAGTTTGGCGGTATCTTTTTCCCTTCGATGTCTTTGATTTCTCTCGTCCCTTTTGGTGCGTGCTAATTTCATTTCCACTCATCCTTCATCATTAGCAGCATAAACTCAGTTCACCCACCATCACGGGATACGATATCATTATCACTTGCATTGACTTCAATATCTTGAGAGCACTCTTTTGCAAGATGGACGACCACGAGCAACCCAGTAGCTCAAACACGATGGTTCCAGGAGGCTTGTCCTGCACTGCCTGCCAACTTCTTCCCGAGGGGTATTCCCGTAAAGTATTCAAGCACGCACATGGCTTTGAGGATGACTGGAAGCCGCCAGTCGAGTCCGATGAGGAGCGGTACCGAATTCCCGAGACTCTTCGCGATAATGCTCTCAATGAGTATCTTGAACTTGCACGCAGGACTCGCCTTTTCGCTGATCCGGAATTCCTCAACGTTATGTCTTGGAGAGAGAAAAGAACCCTGCTGCGAAATCTCGAGTGTATCGAGCAGTACTACTCCCTCCTTTCATTCACCCAAGAGCGACAAAGAGGCCGGCTAATCGACGATGGAACGGATTATTCTTACACTACGACACCAGTCAGAGCATGTGTGAATATCTCTGAAGAGGTCGGTGTGACTATACAAGTCTGTAGAGCCATGTCCGTACAAGATGGAAGATGGTATCTAGGACATCGTCCTGGCACCTACATCTTCAAGTATCATGGCTCTCAGATAGCAGGATCCGACTCAGACACTTTCATGGATGCTCGTGGCTACATCTCGAATAATTTTGAGTATGCAGGCCAAATACCCCGACTTGAAGAGGTGCAAAAACAACGACTGAGGCTACTATTCCCCAAAGTGCTAAGATTGTTCATCAGCGAACTTCAGGTTTTTGCAGGCTTACAACATGGAGAAACGTATCCGGAACTCGAGGAGATGCTCCTTGAGAGGGTTGAATCCGCCACGTCGTTTCATCAAGTCTGGAACTATTGGATGAATGCCAACGTGAATGGCACCGAGTGGCCAGACGCGGAAGTGCGAAATTGTTTTGTATCCCATCCTAACATACTGGAACTTGCTTGGATTCTAAACTATCTTAAACGCCGAAATTCAGGAGAAGGCCAGCCACCAGAACCTCTGGAACTGCTTATGATCTCTGCCACACAAAAACAGTTACCTGAACTTGCAAGCCTATGGGAGGACAGGGAACAGGCATTGGCTTGGAATATGCTCAAGTCAGGCAAACGAACGGGTCTCTTTGTATATGAAGTTACACGTGAAACTGAGGTAAGCCATTTAGATAGGATCATGGGGACTTGTCGGCGGATAATACTTGATCCGCTCGGAACCTTGGAGCTAACAATTTCCTCAGGACATTCACAACTTCTATAGCCAGGCACAGTTCAGCGACGACCCTCTCAACCCGGCCGTTGCCCATTCATTCACACCTCTATTGAGCTACCAAGTCTCGGCTGCAGATTATCAAGAGGGCTTGTCGGAGGATCCTGACGCATCGCAGTCTTAGGAGCACGACCGAATACTCAAGATCACAGTCTAGTTTTTGCATGGTACCATCTCCGACCAATTGACAACGACCCCTGTTGATCTGGTGGTAATTGTTGGAGATCGATTGTTTTTCGCACTGGAATTCTAAGGCGCCCGAAAGTTGAGCCGGCTTCTACCCGAATCCAACCCACGCTCGTCCCGATATTTGCTTCAAGCACCGCATATACATACGTTACGATGGCTTCGATATTCTCTCTCCGCGGGCTGTTCAGCCGCCAAGCTGCTCCCGCCGCGCCTACAACTCGCCTTTTCTCTACGACAGCAAACATGCTTGCCCGCACACCTCCGAAACCCGTCGCAAAGAAGCCCGCAGTAACTGCTCCACGACGAAAGCATGTGCAGCAAAAGTCCGAAAACTTCTACCGCATTCGTACTCTCCGCCAAAACATGTTCTCTCCTGCGCCCCCACCCCTGCGTATGGCCCGTCTTCGATATCTCCGACATTGGACAATCCACCGTGCGTGGCAGCTGTTCCGTCGGCAGCAACACCAAGCGACCGAGCGTGAGCGTCATCGTATTTACAGCGGCATGTACAACGCCTGCGAAGAGCTACGCAAAACCGTTGGTCCTGGAAACCGAGATGAGGGCTACCTGTACCGGGTAGCTATGGAAAAGAAGGGTGTCTGGGGAACTGATGCTATACCGATTGAATACGCACGATACCAAACAGACTTTCCCGCTAAGAATGCGTGGAACCACGACTGGAAGAGGCACAGCAACTAGGTGGGCCTGCGTGGTTAATGTACGAATTCAAGAAATGGTATGAGTCAAAAGTGTACTGTATGTATAATAGAAACAATTGCTAGACATCAATGGCTACAGCAAACCAGCATTCACCAGGCTCGCAATTGAGAGTGCCTAGTGTCACATGTGAGTAAACCAGAGAGAATTGAATGTCAATATCGTCACTCTCATTAAGCAATCCGCTCCTCAAAGGACAGTACCGATCTCTCAGTCTCAAGTATGCCATTAATTCACTATCGCCCTTCCTATGCTCGACCAAGCCAGTCAGCTCTATGCTGCTGTCCCAATTATTAGCTAACACATGGAGAAAATATGCATTGCCTAACCCGCTTGAATCAAAATCATGCAAAATATCAGACTGCTCCTATCCACACTCCTTCAATTCGCTCCGTTTTTTTGTATCCTCCTAGGATGCCATGTATTTAAGAAGACTTTCGCATTCCACTTGCCATAAAACAAGGGTATTAAATCGGGAGAAGTAACCAAAGATCAAAAAGTCGGGAAAGTATTCAAGATCAAAAGGAAAATGAGGACAAATGCGTGGGGCAAGGCGACGAGATGAACAGCGTTGGACATTCCGTTTTGTCTTGGAGAGTGGTATCCAAGAACGACAAATTCATATTTCTTTTCTTGTGTCTTGGATTGGGAGCACCTGTAAATAAAAACAACGGGGGAAATGCCGGTATTTGAATCGGTAGGCGGTTGAGGTGTTGCAGACGGAATGTTGGTGGCTATGAGTTTTGGTTGTCCCTAGGCCTCAGTCCGCCTGTCAACTGAAGGACAAGACAATGTGCCGAAAATAAAAGAAAAAATAAGTCCTCCTCCTTGAGCGCCGAGCAATAAGTCCTCTATATCCTGTGTGATTCCCTGGTGTCCAAAAAATCCTATAGTTGTCTCCAGAAGTCGGAAAATGTTCCGGTGTTGTGGCCGAGGCGAACGGTAATTGATCGCTTGGAGATATACCTGGGCCGGTTCGTAAGGAGGGTTCGCTGCTTACAGGTATGACCACATGCCTGTGGTCCAGATGCCGAGTTCGCATCTGTGTCGGATTGTGCGCAGCTGGTTCTTTACAGCACGACACAGCAGCCGCCGCCCTCACCCTTTTCGAAAGTCAGCAGAGCAGCACGAGTAGCCGCCTCAAAAACATCGTCGACACCCTCGCCGCTCAAGCTGGAGCATTCCAAATATCGCTTTGCGCCAATTTCTCGCGCGATAGACTCTCCATCGTGCTCTGAAACGAATCGCATCGACTTCTTGCGCATTTCCTCAATTGCAACAGGGTCTTCTCGAAGATCCTTCTTCAAGCCAACGAGAATGATGGGAACACCGGTGCACAGTCGTTGAGCTTCCTCGATCCACTATAATAGCAACAGGTCAGTCTTGAAACATCAGCTGAGCACCGTTGCGCGTTGGATTCGTACCTTGTGCTTAACGTTGTCGAGAGAATCTGGAGTGTCGACAGAGAAACCTATCAAAATGACATGGGCCTTTGAATATGCAAGGGGTCGTAATCGCTCGTAGTCTTCCTGTCCGGCAGTATCCCAAAGAGCGAGCTGGACAGACTTGCCGTCCACTCTGCAATCCGTCACGTAGTTCTCAAACACTGTAGGAATCTATGTTTATGGTCAATATTCATCGTCGCAGGGAGAATTCGATCGAGGCTCACATAATGCTATATTGTTGTTAGTAACTGTGATGACAAGACGACTTGAGGTTGGGGAGCTCACTGTAGGAAAGTAACCTAGCGTAAATACGCTCAACAAACTGGTCTTGCCGCAGGCACCATCACCAATAATGACCAACTTCCTAGAATCTATCGTTAGAAATCTTGCGTTGAGAATGCAAAGAAAGTTTTATGTTTGGGAAAGGGCGTAACCCTGTTAAAGTAAGGTTGGGCAGCGCGACAACAACTCGTACCTGCGGATAACGTTGCTTGGATTTGCGCTCATAATGAATCAATTATATAGCTTCGAGATTGCTTATGATCTCGAAAGCGATTGGAAATAATGTCGGATCTGGAGTCTGCTACGGGCCCCAGATCTGGGTATTGCGTCGGGATGTCGTTGTCGTCGATTGAATATGGGTGGAAATGTAGCGGGTTACAGCGATCGAGAGGGCGTCGTCGCGGTGATAAGAGCAGGAACAAGCTAAGTCAAGCCGATGGGGATGAGGATGGATTGAGTTCAGGAGAGTGACAATGGAGATATTTGGGGATTCGGTTCGGTGAGAGAAGTGTCGTTAACGAGATTTAGGACCCCTTATTTTTTTCGAACGGAATTTTTGGTAAGAGAATCGTTGGATGGGTGAGCAACAAGGGACGTTCGGAGTGAGCGCGCGGACGAGACGTGGAGCGAGGAGGAGCAAGGCTAGGCAGTACGTAAATACGGAGCACGGTACGGTACAATACGGTTCGGTAGCCTGGACTGGGGTGTGGATGTTTGGTGCTGTAGTGCGAGCAGGGCGTTTTTAATGGCGGTGGGACGGAGCGTCAGGGCGTTCACTGGTGGTTCCCAAAACTCCAACGGGATGGGCAAGCTTCCTTATACGGGAGAAGGGGATAAGAAGAAGATGGAAGGTGGTCTTTAGGGGAAATACGAGCCGACAACAGCGGATCAGGTAAAGGGACGTAAATAGGCAAGCTTCGGAGTTGATATGATAGGGCAGTAAAGGATCAAGTTGATGTTCTTTTTTTTCTGGTCGCTCGGGCTTGTTGCTCTACTAGTCTCGGACCAGGTTCTGAGCTGAGACGGATTGGGTTGGGCTGATAAAATGCTGGGAACTTTGACCAGGTTTGGTTTGAAGGGATGGAAATAGATAATTAGTTAGGTATACAGATCTTGAGAGAGTTAACTAAAGATAACCATCTCCATACGTTTAGGTGGTACTAAGTTATAGATCGAAGCTAAGAGGCAGCCTCCTTCTATTGTTGGAACCGTCTGTTTACAGTAGTAGAGTTGGGAGTGACGGTGGTGGTGGCATCGGTGATAGTGGGGAAGTCATGGACGAGTTGGCTGGCTGAATGTTCGTCTCTCTCCCGGCTCCCCTGGGTCTAGAGGTGGAGCAACAGACAGAGGCGTGGAAAACGGGTCCGGGGCGACCGTTTTAGCTGAGAATGAGGTGAGGTTGAGTGTAGGACGACAGCCCTGGAGGTTCTTCAGCATACCGTAAGTTTGTTTTGCTGCAGTGGTGGATTTATTGCCTGAATCAGTCTGGCTTCCATCCATGCCCATAGCTTGATGATGACACAGGACGGAATATTGCTAGGTATTCATGACATGACATGGATCATGGGAGACAGAATGTACCGACAGTACGGATGGTTACAACGATTTATTGTGACTTTCTGCTACGTAACGTGGATGAAACTCACTCGGCAAGTTCAATTGGAAGCTTTCCACAACACAAACTCCATTCATGAGCATGGCATGGCATGGCATAGCCTTGGGCGCCCGTTTGATGCACTGCACTTCCGTACCCAGCAAGCCCCCTGTGGCGGAGCGACCACTAGACCTATTCAAAACAACCTACAGAAGTGGACATCTGAACAAAGGCTATTCGGTTAATTCTGACACTTCTCCGCACCAACCAGCTCACTGGACACGAATGGGTTCGATAAGCGGCCTAACCATCTCCAACAGTTTCTACAGCTACAGCTATAGCTACAGCTAGGACAGAACAAATTGCAGGACTCTTCTTCAAGCAGTATCAGATCCTACTTTCAATTAGGTAACAGCAAGAAGTCCTGTCATGGAACAAGCCTGTGTGAATTCGTACCTACCTAGGCTAGCTAGTCGGTAGGTCAGCAATTGACAAAGCAGCTTAGGGACCTATCACAAATTTCTTCATCAGCAGTCTTTTCTTCAACAACCAATTTGGGTTTCTTTGTTTTGATTCGACTGTGATAGACAGGGCTTGTAACCTTTGCTTTCAATACAATGACGACAGATTCCAGATGCAGACAAGCATTTCGACAGGTCCACATCAACAGCAGAAGATCCCCTTGTCATTATTCGGAGGATTAATCATTGCATTCTTGGCCTCTGTTTCGCTCACTCGTTAATTCTGCGGATTTCTGCGCCGTCCGTCATGCTTTCGCTATTTGAGGCTGTGCAGGTTGATCCACTCCCGCTCGCCGGTAAGCTAAAAACAGGAACCAGACCAGGGGGTTAGACGAACTGCCAGTCAGTCCTGAACTCTCATTAGCTGCTGTCGAGC